CCGTGGGAAGTGGTCTCCATGGACTTTATCACTGATCTTCCATGTAACAAGGGGAAAACTGTTATTTGGGTGGTTGTCGATCTGTTTTCTAAGCAAGCCCATTTTGTGCCTTTCTCTTCGCTGCCCACTGCCCAAAAGCTAGCGAAGGCTTTTCTGTATCATATTGTAAGACTCCATCAGTTGCCATCTAAGTTAATTTCAGATAGGGGCCCCCAATTCGTTTCCAAGTTTTGGAGGGAGCTCCTCTCAATCATGGGGGTGGAGCAAGGTCTCAGCAGCGCTTATCATCCTGAGACCGATGGGCAGACCGAACGTGTAAACCAAACTCTTGAGCAATATTTACGTTGTTTCACAAACTACCAACAAACCGACTGGTGTGACCTATTGCCTTTGGCTGAGTATTGTTACAACAACACGTTGCATAAGTCTACGGGCATGTCCCCATTCAAGGCTGTCTTTGGTTATGAGAGCCCCCCTCTCCCCTTTTTACAAGGGGCTCCTATTCCTCATGGGGGGGATGCTACCTCTTGGTGTAAATCTTTGCAAGATGCCTGGCCTCTTTTGTGTCAAACCCTGGATGCTGCAAAAGCAGCTTATAAGGCCCAAGCGGATAGGGGTAGGGTGGTGGGATTGGATTTAAAACCTGGTGACCTGGTGTATGTTTCTACTAAAAATATCAAGATGTTAAGACCTAGTAAGAAACTGGGGCGGAAGTATATTGGGCCTTTCAAAGTTCGAAAAATCATTAATGATGTTGCTGTTGATGTTGAACTGCCTAAGAATCTGAGGGCTTTACATTCTGTGTTTCACATGAGTTTGTTGAAAAAGGACCCTGGTACCTCTCCTTGGCGTCCATCTGTGACTCCTCCTCCACCTGTGTTACTTGAGGGGGATGAACATTTCGAGGTTGCAGACATCCTCGACTCCAGGATGAAACGTGGTAAGCTTTGGTACCTCATCGAGTGGGTGGATTTCGGACCCCAGCACCGCGAATGGGTGGAAGAAGGGGATATTCGGGCCCCTTATCTGATTCGGAGGTTCCACCGGAAGTTCCCGGACAAACCGGGAGGACTCCCGCCCAAACCGGGAGATCTCCCGCCCTGCCCGGGAGACGGAGGGTAAGGTGTATTTTTGAGGGGGCAGTATGTCAGCAAGCTGCCATTGTGTTCTGTATTACCTGCCTGTTTGTACAGTCCCTTCCCCCCCCCGTTCCTGGCATGTGTTTTATTCTGCTGTAACGCTTAAACCAAGCAGCTGGAGGACGTGAAGTGGGAGGTGAGCTTGATTGCTAGCTTGTTGCTTTTTGAGCCTGGGAACTGCAGCAATGTTATGTCTGAAGATGGTAGTGTTCCCAGGGATTGCCCGCGCAATCGTTTCCCTGTACCCGCCAGCGGGAAAGTGACCCATTGGTTCTGTACCTGGTTTGAATCCCTTTATTATGTTTACCCGAGCTGTTTGTAACCATTCCTAACAAAGACCTTGTTTGAGTATCTTTCCAAAGCTTTGAAATAAATTTTGCTTTCTTGAAACGTGGATTTATTCTCGATGCTTGGGGATCCAACAGCCAGCAAAAGCAGGCATAGCACTGGCACATCAGAATCACTTAGTTGCCACAAGCAGACAGATTCCTGTCTTTGATGTTTATATCCCAGGTGCAATTTCCTTTGGTGACCAGCAGGTCCCATGGCATAGGGGAATACAAAATCGGTGCCTGAACTTCTGGGCTCCATGTTTAAGCACATCAGTGTATGACTAATTCCACATGGAGGCATTAATTTACCCAAACTGGGAGACAATAGTGACCCTTATATTCATAATATATGAATTTTTTTCTCAACACACACACACATTATGCATATTCTGCTCCTACAAGGTTTACAGGCCCATGGAAGAACACCACCTGGAATCTTATTTTACCTTCTTTCATCCTTCTCCATATGTTCAATCTTGAAGTGATGGTTGCTGGGCCAAGAACGTCCCAGCTGTTTGTCCTTTCCAGGTAGTGATACACATAAAATACTGGGATGACATTCATGAGTTCAGTTTCTGCACTTCCCTTGGGGAGGTTAGCAAGGAAGTTGACCCCTTCTGGGTCGAGAACTGTAGTGATCACTTCACCCAGAATGTGTCCTAGAAAAGGGGAATTACACCATGAAATCCTGTCTTTAGGCAGTATGTGCAATGCATACCATCCACTGATTCTAAATTAGGGCTGTCCTCTGAAATTCTCATCTAAATTGCTCCCTGGATTTTGGAGTTCTGAATTATCTGGTCTTGTTTCCAAAGTGGAGCTAATACAGTTAGCAGTAATCCTCTGTTTCTTAAAAAAAGAAGAAGACGACACTGTACAGAGTACTGTATGTGTGCAGAGAAACTGTTTTTAGCCCCTCCCATTTGTGTCCTTTTCTCCTATACATTACTGGTGCATACAGGCTGCAAAAAAGCTGCCTTGTTTTGATTGTATCTATACCTGCATCAAGATTCCTTTTGTGTACCAATGCACAGGAACGCATGCAAATATCAGTAAAACATTGCGTAAGAAGAGCCTTGATGCAATTATATGCACAGTTACATCAACATTGCTTTTTTGGGGTAGCTTTCTATCAATGCACAAATGAGCACTAGGTGAGGGGGAGGTAAAGATGATACAAATGAACTGAGAGAACTGAAGGCTACACTAGAATGCACATATGCTCCAATATCAGAATTGGTTTGTGTAATGTACTCCGCCATGACCGCGTGTGCGACCGTTGGGCCATGCGGTCAGGCCAAACAGCAGAGCTTCGCTCCCCTGAGAACAATAGCCGAGCGGATCCTAGCCCGCACCTATCAGAGGGCCAGGTCCGTGGCCGAGAGCCTATGAGACTCTCGGCCACTGTAAATAGCCTATAGTGAAGTAGGGGGTGTGTTTTGGTGGTGGGTTTCTCGGCATAAATACCGGCCTTGTTCTATCCTAATAAAAGTACTTTGCTGAAATCACTCAACGTTTCTCAGTACTTTTCAGTTTGTAGAAATTCTCCTGGTTAAATCAGAGTTAAGGAAGAGCGAAACTCTCGAACAATCAGTGGTCATTTCCTGCGGGCGCGCATAGGAACAGAGCTCCAGCAGTAAAGAGCCCAGGGGGTGGGCACATGCAACAAGCCCCACCCCCTGCTCCCAGCAGCCCTCAGTCAGAGCAAGCAGCAGCCAGGTAAGTTGCAGAGCTCCCCCCAGCCCCCTTTAAGACCAAGTCTTATTCAGGTACAAGCTCTCCCTCCTCTGTGAGAGCAGATCTGCACGTCCGTCCCCCCCAATAGCTAGCAATACAAAACAGTCCAGTGGAGCCTGAGCGGTGGGTCTTGCCTTCTGACACACTTCCGGTGATGGCAGGGTGTGTGGCATATGCAAATAAGTTATGCTAATGAGTTATGCTAATGAGTTATGCGAATGAGCTCCCACACCTCTTTTTCTACGAAATGACCCCTGCGAACAATGAATGAGGAAGATCTGCTCAGCCTTTCAAAAGAGAGATATGAAAATTGTCAAGAGCTAAACTAGCCTATGATGTGTCGAGAAGACTGTATGCGCCAAATTACCTTTTATACTCACAGTCCTGTCAAGTCTTGTTTTAGGGACAATATCTGATGGCATCCTGTGTTGAAATTCCGCCTCTCTCTTCACGGTGCCTATTGTGGAAAATAGAAAAGAAAACATACAACACTACTTATGTCAGTATGTCATTTCCTTAAGTCTTTTAATATTGATGCTAACTTCTGTCTACCATGTGTTTATTCTACCCTTCCTTCAAGGAGTTTAATTTAGTATAAATGATTTTCCCCTTGCTCATTTTATTTGAAAAAGGATAATAAAAATTGGCATGAACCTAAAATGCAAAATATAACAAAGTTTAAAACATTTTTAAAAATCACATGGAGGAATTCATTTTGCCAATTTGTATCTAACTTTGATTTAAAAAACCTGCTAAATTGTTAAAAAAAAAACAGACATCATAACAATAATCATGTAATGCCGCTTTTATGCCTTGCTTTGGATTTATGATGTTCTTATGCCCTGGCTAGGTTTTATGATTAGTTGTTATTTATTTTCATGTTTCTTTTATTGTGTTGCATGAACACATCTCTCTTGACCTGAATGGCTCAGGCTAGCCTGATCTCATCAGATCTCAGAAGTTACACCGGAAGACCACCAAGGACCATCAGGGCTGCTACCAAGACACTGGGAATGGTACACCTGAATATCTCTTGCTCTGAAAACCCTACTGGGTCGTCATCAATCTTCCCTGTAAGCTGCGGGGTCTCGTGAGCAGAAATTCAGCCTCATGAGCAAAGCAGCCACCAGCATCAAAGCCATGAGCGAGCCCACACCTGACCATCGCATAAATTAGTTTTTTAGAAGATTATTACCATAACCTTGTAAAAATCTCAGAATAAATTCTTCTGTTTAACAGCCCTGCTTTAGATGGCCTTTGAAAATGCACAGTCAGCTAACTGTGGGCTTGTGCTCCAACAGCATCACAATGCACGCATGCTGATCCTTATCTAGATCAGCAGAGTGAAACAATTAATCAAGAAGAGAAGAATGTACTTGCCATACCATAAACACCTTGTGGGTCCAGAGTGCGGCCTTCATAAATTTCCTTTCGTATGCCTTCTGGCTGAAACCCAACCATGGGGGGAAGGGGAGGAATACAATTATTCAGCACTTCTGCTTATACATTTCTTTCTAAAAGTTTAGAAATAATTTTAAAACTATTATAGTTTTACACTTATTACAAACACCCCGCCTGTTCTGAATGAAACAATGACAGTGTTAAGAAGAGTTACACCCATCCAAATCCATTGAAGTCAATGGACAGTACAAGTTAAACAAAAATATAGTAAAAAATGTTAGCTAGCACAGAGATTGCAAAAACAGGAACAGTCATAAAACTTGGGGTGCACTAAGAATCCCTTATGAGGGCAGAAAAGTGGGGTGCGAATTTTGTAAAATAATAATAACATAAATATAATCCAGCTCTGAAGTGTAACTGTGTTTCAAAATGTAAGCAGAGAAACCATGATCATATCTCAAAATAATTCCTTTTTTGCAACTGTATCTGGTCTGTCCACCAAAAAGGAATTTTCTAACAGCATGAAGGGCTGCAAAAATGGTTTGGTGTAATGTCGGACAAAGAACTGGGATCCCTCAGGTCTGAACCCCCATCCTGCCATGGATACTTGCTAGGTAACCTTGGGCCAGTCACCCACTCTGAACCTAACCCATCTCTCAGGATGAGTATGAGGATAAAAACAGGAGAAGAGAATGATATAAACCACTTTGGGTCCCCATTGGAGAGAAAAGCAGGATATAAGTGAAGTAAGTAAATAAACTGCAGCAGTGAGCTGTAATAATTCAGCCCCTCTGTTCTGCAAGCTGCTGACACTGGTAGAAAGAGTCCCACACGGGCTCTTCTGTACATTGCTTAGTTTGTACATATTTATAGTTTGTACATATTTATTTATTTATTTCCATTTATTTCCATTTATGAATCGCCTGTCCCCACAACTGTGGAGCTCTAGGCAATGTACAAAGTTCTAAATGTATAAATGTATAAAAGCATAAAAGCCATGTCCAACAACATACAGTAATTAAAAACAAGTGGTGAAATTCTGTAGCTCCCTCCCATATCTGGCATGTGAGTGCTTCCCACGTTCAGGGAGGAGTAAGTTCTATAAGGAATAAGGGTCCAGGTAGGGTTCCAGCCATGATGTTAAACCACTGCTGTCCTCAACCAAATGCCTGGTGGAACATCTCTGCCTTACAGGCCCTGTGGAATTGCATAAGATCCCACGGGGCCCTGATGTTATTGGGCAGAGACCTGGAATGGGATTCATAAATGAAATTAATTGACATTTTTATAGTTCTACAAGGAGGGATATACAGATTTTAAATGCACAGACTGAGACTGGAGAACCAGTTCTACAGTTTGAAGCAACTTAGCTTAGAGAAGACAAAGAGGAGACAAGATGATACTCCTCAAATACCTGAAGGACAGTTACATTGAAAAGTCCTGGCCAAAAGGATTTGGTAGCAGCACCTTAGACATAAGATGGTGGCAACCAGAATCATATTTGACTGTAGCTACTAAACCAAGGCATGTTTATGTAAAGGTTAAGCACATTTTATCAATCATTATTTACGTTGACAGAACATGTGTTTTTAAGTAAGGAGATCTATCTTACCACAACTCTTAAGGTTCTCACGACGGTTTCGCTGTTAAACTCGGTTCGGAGGGTAAAGTTGATTGTGTGGAGACCTATCTCCAGAGGGAGAATCTTGAATGTTACTGAGGCAACAGAAGAGCCCTCTATTACCGGAAGGCGACGGCGATCACACCTGATGGTTTGTATGCCAAGCCGATTCCTGGTGGAGCCTCTGAACAGGCAAATTCCTTCGCCAACTGACATCTCAGTGCAAAACTGAAGTGTGAACCAGGAAGAGAATATTTCATCACCTGGATCACTAACATGCAACAAAAAGAAAAACCTCAAAAGGGCTTTTAAGAAGTAATTCCTTAATAGGTCCCCATGGGTTTCAAGAACCATCTCGACTTTGCAAGTCTCTTGCAAATGCTTTCTGTTGACTGGGATAGTTTCTTTCAACAAGGTTGCAAGTTCACTTGGAAAGTCACCTGTGATAAAGAGATCATTCTTGAAATGCACCAGGAAATATTAAAGGCTTATCACCTTATGAGGTTTTCCTTTTATTTTGTCTCCTGCCCCCCATCACTGGAGTAAATGTGCTCTCAAACTTTTCAGTGTGTTTGAAATATTTGCTGACTATTCATTGGATATTTAATATGAATAGCCAGTTATAGTAGTCTTAAATATTTGACCTCTTTATTCATACTAAGGTATCAAATATCTCACAGCACTTTATAACTGTATACAATGGTATTTACTAGTATGCGATAACAATTTTTGCATTTGGCAGTAACTGACTCTTGAATGATTTACGAGTTTCACATTTAACTGCCAAATCCAAAAGATAACCCCCCCAAATCTAACACCTTCACATCTCAGATTCGGAGATTAAAGGTTCAAATCCATATTAATAACTACATGTTTGAGATGTTGCATTCCAGTTCTGAATGGAAAGAGATGAAACACTGGTATGCATAAAACCTTTAATTAACACATTCCCAGTAATATTTCTGGTTAAAGAGGCTTACCTTCGTTCTGATATCTCTGTAATTGTAAACAGATCCTCTCAATTCAATGTGCTCTCCACGGACAACAGAGTAAGGAATATTCACACTTAAGAAAATGTATTTGATTACCTCCACTTGAAGTGCATCAGCAACACATATACCTGTGTAAAAGGAACATTAAAGAATATCCTTAGTATTTACAAAGGATTGCCTGTAAAAACTTGCAGGTGACCTATATGACCAGTGCAAGCAGAAAGCAAGTGTGGGCATACATACACGGAGGCCCAGACTAGTTTGGTACTATGGTGGGGGTGAGAACCAAATCCGGACGCCTCATACTGCTGCCAGTTGCAGAAGCTGATGTTGCATAACTCAACCTTCTCTGAGCGCTTTGTCTTGATAGGAGACAAAGACGGACTTAGGACATGTGGTTCTTGCTTTACACCCCAAACCAGGCCCGTAGCCAGGATTTTTAATTGGGGGGGCCTTTAAATAAGTCAGGGGGCACCCCGCACAGACCCCTGTGCACACCTCCAAGGGAGTGATTGGGCTGGATGGTAAGTCAGGGGGCCAGACCCCGATATGCCCCACTGTAGCTACAGGCCTGCCCCAAACTCCCATGGCTTTAGTGAACATCCCATGCTTGTCTATTTTTTTAAAGAACGAAGTGCTCTGCCCCCACCCACATTGTCTCATTTTATGCCCGAAGTCTTGCTTGTTCACACACACACACACACACACAAAATTAGGGCTCCTTTACCTACCTTTATCTGAGATGCCAACACCCTGTATTTCCCATGTAGTGAGAGAATCAGGAAGGGTCACAGAAAGAGTCTTCGACCTGCATAACAGTTTTTACAAAAAGTGAATAACCGAAATTCAGCCTCATTACTGTTTTTCCATTGGTGGCATCGGAGAGCTGGTTTACATATTCCATTCAGGAAGCCTAACAGTGTGATGTACGAATTGACCAGAATCAGAAACCATGGTTGGAAGTGGGCTTTCAAACCATGGTTTGTGAAAAGTAGGGTTTGGTGTGATGCCTGAATTGACAAGCCACAGATCTCTAGAAGTCACTATATCTAAGGAATGGGCCATTGGGCAGGTGGAAAATTAAAGCAGACAGCTCTAAGAAAAGTTTGCTTCCGTGCTGGAAACTCAGACCATGCAATGCATCCTGTCTTTTTCTGAGTTCCCTGACTAAACTTTTTAAATTCTTAAAATTTGTTTTATGCTTTTAAGGGTTCTGCTGCCCCCCCCCGAAATCTCTGTTTATTATTGATTATTTGATGCTGCTGACTTTCCTAGACCTTTTAAAACTTTGCTGGTTTTTAGTCTTTGATGTTATATAATGTATATGTTCTAAAGATGTATTGTCTGTTTGTTTTCAGCTGCCTAGGGTGAAGTCTGGCTAAGAGTGCAGAACACAAACAACAAATTAAACAAACAGGTTCCCAGAAGCCTGGTCCAGGCACTAAAAGCATGCATTCATACAAACTGACCCCATCACATGTGGTCAGGTTTCATAATAAAGTTGCCACCTTCTAACAGAAAGGGTTATGGAGTGCATATGTACATAGTATGACACATATTGTTATAGCCTTATATTGCCATAACTCTCCTTTCTTTTTCTGAGTCTCAGAGAACCTTTTTGATTTTTTTTGTATTTTACAAATTATGAGAGATCACAGGAGAAGCTGATCGACCAATACAAACAACCAGGGCTATTTTTGGGCAGGAACGCACAGGAATGGAGTTCCGGCTGGCTCCCGAGTTGGCCACGCCCAGCAGGAACCCCATTCATAATAGGCCACACCCAACAGCAGAAACTCATTAGGATTGGCTACATTAGGGGTGTGTGGCCTAACATGCAAAGGGTTCCTGCAACAAAAAAAGCCCTGGGTTTTGACAACAAACAAGGTAAACAGAATAAGAAGCAAAAGGTGAGTGTGGCTGGATGACCACACTTCTGGCAATGTGAGTGTGGCATAATATGCTAATGAGCTGCTCTGTCAGGGGTGTGGCCTAATATGCTAATGCATTTCTGCTGTTGGATGTGGCCTGTTATGCTAATGAGTGCCTGCTGTGCTTTTTCTACAAAAAAAGCCCTGCAAACAACCATGATGTAGTTATTTTATGTGAATTGCATATAGAAATTACTTAAATCCTATAAAGATTTTTCACATTAATAGATACCAAAGAATTTTACAGTGCATATAATTCTTCTATGATGAACAAAGTGCTTAGGTCAAATAACTGTCCATATAGTCACTTTGAACTTCTAATTGTCAACTTCTTCATCCATTCTAAGTTCTGTGTGGCAATCCCTCCCCTTTATGTTATAACAGAGGATTTACGTGATGTTTCTGCTGCGGAATTTGCCAAGAAGTAGAGCACAGAGATGGGTTTCGAGCTGTCCCATTGGTGGGAAGCTGCGGATGTGCTATTAATGGAAGTGGAGAAAGAATGTGGCCTTGACTGATGCTTATAACATAAAGAGGAGGGATTGCCACATAGAACTTTGAATAACTGTTTGTATTGGTTGATCATATTCTGTATTTTGGCATCCCTGTACTAGATATAATTCCATCAACCATAAAAGGAATTCAACCAGGGCCTAACTACATGTTATATTTTTCCCAGGTACATCTGTGGGTTGGGTTCTCAGGGAGCTCTATGTTTCCCAGGACTAGTTCGGATCAGGACTGTGTCAAACACGGAGAGAGGACTTAGACCATCCTCCCACCCCTGTGCCGTTTTCCTGACCTGAAGTAGCCACAAGGAGCAGTTTATTAACTACACTGGGGGGAGGAGAATCTGTCACAGACAGAAGTGATATTGGGGGATTAATATTCCCAAACACTTGCACTGACCTGCTTAGCCCAAGCAAGCCCGATCTCACCAGGGTTGATACTGGCAAGTACTTGGATGGGAGACCTCCTTGGAGTACCAGAGGTGGGAGGTGGGGAGCAGGCTTTATTCAGCCACCTCTCTGAATATCTTCCAGACCCCCAGTGGGGGGGTCAATCATCAGAGGTTGCCATGACTTCCAGGTGCACACACGCTCACATGCACAAACATACATATGAAAAATACAAAGAAATAACCAACAAAAAACCCTTTACCAAGCACTTTGGGGCCTGATTTGGCTTGGGAGTGCAGGGTAGAATAGGGGTTTCAGCCCCCCCCCCCCCCCAATGCAATTTTCCTGAGCCAAAACAGCCACAGGAAGCTCCTAGTTTCTCACTCAGGAAAATGGCATGGGGGAGAAAAGCCGAAGTTCTTCCTCTTCCCACAACATACCCTCCCCAACCCAAATTGAGCCTCACAGTGTTTGGGAGTGTTAGTTCCCCAATATCACTTCTGTCTGACAGATTCCCCAACCAAACGTGTGGCAGATGCTGCTTCTAGCTTGGCTTCTAGCTTGGCCCTTAGAGTGCTAGGAAAACAATAAGCAGCCTCTGCTTTATAAAAAGGGCAGTTCCGTACTACAGTTGAAGTTCAAATTATAAGATCTAACTAGGAATAAGGCCCGTTGTGGAAATAAATAAAACAAGCTCTAGAAAGAGGCTCTGGGAGATTGCCAAGGCCTTAGGCACTCGGCGTCAATTTGCTGTGGTGACCTCAACAGGGTATAATGACACAGAGGCCCCTGCCACACGGGGGGGGGGACATGGGCAAAGTTTAAAGCCGCACCAAAAGAGACACGCCGCGGCGGGATCACATAGATCCCCTGAGCCACCGCGCACTTCCTCCCTGGCATGATCAGATGCCAGGGGGAAGCCACTGACCGGGAAGCGAGGCAGCCGAACTGCGCATGTGTGAGCATGCGCAGTTCAGCCATGAGCCGGTATTGCTACGAACGAAGAGCGCGCCGGCGATACCACGGCCACGCTTGATGCAGCGTCCCAGGTAAGTCCTCCTCTGGGGGTGGTTCTTTTTTACAGCGCGTTATTGGCCTGAAGAGACGGATCGGGAACGGGTGCGAGCCGATTCCCAGATGTTGCAGTGTGCTCGCGCCTGTTTGCTGCGCCCCCGATCCGTCCCTCTCCCAGGCCAAACTCTCCCGTGTGACTGGGGCCAGAGTCCACCGTTTTCTCCAGAGGAATTGTCACTGCCTTTTTAGAGGGACAGTGAGACCCCTCTGGCTGAATCTCCCTATTTGAAGATAGAATCCCCAATCTTTGGGGGGATCCCTGAAAAGTAAGCACACACTCTGAACCAACAGGACATAAATCAACAGGGATTAAACGCAATCCTATACAGAATACTCTCTACCTCTGGAGGTTATGGGCTCACCTGTACTTCAACCTCTCTCTCTTGCCCAAGAGAGCAGGGAAACTTCTATTCATTCCCCAGTCCAGCCAACTGTGGAGTGGCTGAATTTCTGCTGCCTCCCAGGGACGAAGTCTGCCTCCTCCCTGGATGCCGCCCTACCTGTTGGGACAGTCCCTGTTTTCCTGCAGCTTGGGGCAGCTGGGAACTGTAGGCCAGCAGATGAGGAAGCCCCATTCAACCCAGTGAGTGATACCCCTGCAGGTCCCTCTCTGGAACTACAGCTCAATTAAACCTTATGGGGGAACATTTTAAACAAACAACCACCGCTTCCACAGCAAGAACCTGGGTCTGGCAGACCCTGCTCTGAAGCGCTAACTGCTACGCCTAGGGTAGCCAACCTCCAGGTGAAGCCTGAAGATTGCTGGGTATCACAACTGAACTCCAGACAACAGATCTCTTCCTCCCCAGAGAAAATAACTGCTTTGGACGGTAGCCTATATGGGGTTCTATTCAGCTGAGGCCTCTCCTCCCCCCAAAAAAAACTCTGGCTTCCTTACACTGGCTTCCTTAGACACAGAATAGTCAGGAATTTCCCAACCTGGAGCTGGCAACCCTAGTCAGCACTGGCCCCAATGAGTTCCTCACAACAGCCACTGAGGGGAAAGTTAGTCCCACACAGGAGGCAAGCAGGAGAAGCGTCTTTGTCAAGAGAGAAAGCCATTTGCCAGTAATTCTGACAGGGTACAGTGGCTGAAGGGGGAGTGGGCAGGGAAGAGGAGCAGACCCAGCACCTGGCCAATGGCACGCAAGTACTCTTGAGTGGCGGCTGACGGGCCAATGGCTGAGGGAGCGCATTGCACAGCCAATGGGGGAGCTGCAAAGTGCCACCAGCAAAACACAATTATATATAAGGAGAGATATGCAATACCATACCGAGGAACTTGGTGGACTTCCCAGAGCCAGCTTTCAGGGAAATAGCTTCGGATCACTGGCTCATCCACATCTAAGAAAGCTTCCATTTCTGGGGGGGAAAGATGTTTTAAAAACGTCTACCAGATAACTCAAGTCAGCCGGCCATATGCAACATCCTCTAATATCACTTTCTTCCATCTAAGCTGACTGATTCCATTGTTGGGACAATGACTCAGAATGGATAGGTAACATGTTCCTCATGGATGTTAATTGTTAGTTCTGATAGTTCTGACAAGTATCTATAGAAACTTGGGGATGGTGGCTCCTCCTACCTGAGGGAGGAGGGCTGGGGTTGAGTGTGTGAAGAACCAGCAGTTCCCCATTTTGGAACACAGGCTGCTGTGAGCTGACTGAAGTCCCTGGGTGTGCAAAATCTCCTTTTCTCCTTGGGATCTAATGCAAGGTGGTTCATAGAGATGTCTCTCTGCCTCTAACAGTGCTCTACTTACATAGCTGTAAATAAAGCAAATGTTACACAAAACACCATTAAGATTCCAGTGCTTTCTCCTTCAAAAGGAACCCATCTAGTGCTGTCTGGAATTTCTCATCATTCAGAGCAATGAGGATTGAATTAAGTTATGGTTTTGGTTTTCTTAACAAGAAATAACTAGATATGAACCAAACTGCATATCTGAAAAGTTTTGCTAATCCCTGTTACTTAAAACCACATATAGGGCCTGGTGCATTAATCTTTTATTTGGGACAAGGAACAGTAATGCTGCTGCTTAATGTTTTAGTTAAGCTGGGTTGATGTCTTTTTAATACTTTTTAAAGGAGAAGGATGGGATATAAATATAGCCACCCTGAGCCTGCCTCGGTGGGGAGGGTGGGGTAAAAATCAAATAAATGAATAAATAAATGTTATAAATATATATATTGGAGCTACATGGTATTACTGTATTTTGAGGGTATTTCTAGATCCTCTTGACAAACCAGCACAGATTATGTAGGATTGCATTTTCCCATGCTTTCAACATGATACACAAAGATACACAAAGTATGACTTGGATTTGCACAACAGTTCCATGGTAGTAATTCATCTGGACTAGGGGTGTGTGCTCAGTATATACCGAGCCAAATAAATACCTGAAAAATACCTTATTGGTATTTTTCGGGTATTTATTCAGCTGAATACAGATATTATTTGGCTTTTATTTGGGCAATCCCTTTCCTCCCCCCCCCTCCCACAGCTGCAGCTCGACTCTAGGAGGGGAGGGAAGGGGCTTAAAGTTTAAACCCTCTCTCACAGAAGTCAAGCCACAGATAAGGCATGACTCTGGGAGGGGAGGGGTTTAAAGTTTAAATGACATCACTCGCCGAGTCAACTCTGCACGACTCAGCAAGTGAAATTCTCCATTATGGGAACGGTCCCCATAGGTTATAATGGAGCCGAATATATTCAGGTTTCTTGAATATTAACCTGTATACCAGTACAATACCGAATCTGATACTGGTATTCAGGTATTTTTGGGAACACCGAATATCTTGGGATCGCAAACACCCAACTCCAAATAAAGCCGGGGGGGTTTCCCCTTGCACACCTCTAATCTGGACTACAACAGCCATAGCAGACCTAGCTAATTCTTGGTCTGCTGTTTTATCAGAACAGTTACCATGTGGCTTGCAATTGATACTTGTGATCAATGCTCCCTCTAAGCCGTGGAGTCTTGTGAGCAAAAATTCTACTTTGTGAGCTACTGGCATTAAAGCTGTGAGCGAGCAATTTGGCTGCTGCATAAATCAGTTTGCTTTGGAGCCATCCTTCCTGAGCTAAGACAAAAATGTGTGAGCCAGAGGCTAAAAAACTGTGAGCTAGCTTACACTAACTCAGCTTAGAGGGAACACTGCTTGTGATGACTTGGCATGTCTGATTTCCCAGAAAAATGAGAGCCTTAAGAGCACCTACAAATGCTTTGCCTAACTGAGGGATGGAGTGCAAAATTAATAACAACATCAGTGGTACTGAAATTCTTTGGCTGCTTCTGTCTCGATTTTAAAAGGCAACCAATCGATCAGCTGACTGAATCATACATTCACCTGTCTTTCCATGCTTCTGAACATTGTTTTAAAATCCTACATGAAATAACTGCAGATTCCAGTTGATGTTGGGCTGAGACTTACGCATTCTTGCCAGTAGTAAAACTTTGTGTGGCTCAGTTAGACGTAGCTTGTTTGCAAATTCACAACAGTCCTCGAAGGCCTTTCTACACACTGGTACGCTAATACGGCTGGCTCTTTTGCTGCACGTCTGAGAGAGGGGATACTCTTCTGCACCGGACCGGCAGCACTTCTGGACTTCTTTATGTCTATAGCGAGATACTGAAATGACAGGAAGCATTTGACAGCCTGTTTTCTGTGGCACAGCAGTCTTCCCATTAGTTATATTTCAGCTAATCACGAATGAAGAAAAGGAATTAACGGATGGGGATGAAGCCCATAACTTTAATAATCCAACAGATTAATATCAGATAAGCGAGCCAGAAAAGAAACAAAATAACAAATATATTTGACAGGCAAGTAGTGGAAAGAGGGCAGAACAGATTGACCTCATGTTGCCTGTATGGCCATGGACGTTTATTACACTTATGTATGAACACAGGAGCTGCGGTGGCTCAAGTGGTGAAGACGCTGAACTGCAGGCTGTGGAAGGTCAGTAGTTCAGCAGTTCAAGACCTGAGTGCCGCATGATGGAGTGAGCTCCCGTCTCTAGTTCCAGCTCCTGCCAACCTAGCAGTTCGAAAGCAAGAAATTGCAAGTAGATAAATAGGTACCACTTCGGTGGGAAGGTAACAGCGTTCCGTGCGCCTTGGTGTTGAGTCATGCTGGCCACATGACCACGGAAACATCTTTGGACAGCACTGGCTCTTCGGCTTTGAAACAGAGATGAGCACCGCAACCCTAGAGTTGGATTCGACTGGCTTTCGAGCAAGGGAACCTTTACTTTAATTTCTGTTGTTTTGCCATTGGAGTGTCATGGATACCCCTTCATTGCTTCTGTTGAGACCCAAAGCCCATGTTCCTCATCCCAATATACCCTGGTCATAGCAACAGGCACCTGTGAAGAACTGAGACTGGGATTAAGGAAGAGCTGTTGTTTAAATGAGGGGGAGGATGCTGTGTGCCAGTCTGGCCACAGTGGAGAATCCCCCTTTGTAGCAAGCAGAAATTCATGGGATGCCCAGAAAAGAACAAAAATATATTACACAGAATCCATAGCTAAATAACTGGTATAGAACTCACATATAAATGACTTTTGGACAGCTCTTTCAAACAAATCTCTTGGGGTATTTTCCCACACATAAATGCTGCTGAATAAGACATCTGGCATATGGAATACCTTTTTTTTCGATTTCTTCGCTGATGGTGGACCTTACTGATCTTACAATGGCATCACAAGCTTCATCTGTTGAAACCAAGAGGAAAACCCAAGAATGATAAGAATAATTTTATAAAGCTGTCAAGCAAAAAAAAAAAAATGTTTAGTGAGCACTGATGAAACAAACCAGCCCCTCTTTGCTTAACAGCTGGAACTGAGGGCAACTTTTGCTAATACAGGCACTGGTCTCAAAAGCCAGCCTAAGTTAAGCAATCTCTTGGACTTTTTTTGAGCCGATTCATTTATGCGCATGCATGGAGCCATCTTCAAAAAGTAATCATTACACTACTGCACTGCTGTAGAGCCAACTATTGCTTTTTTAATGGGACTCCATGTTCACACCCTATATTGGGGAGATGAGCCACAGCGGAAGCACCCAGGACATTTGTAGGGCTCCACATCCTCCTAGGGACATGCCTTCATCATGATTTAGGAGGAAGCAGTGTTGTCAAAGGGAGCACATTTTCACCTGTGCAGTTAAAATATGCTAGGGGGAAGTACCTGCTTCTTTTGAGTCCTCTGCGTTGGCATTGGTCAGAAAGGTGAGGCCAGCCATTCGGAAGACGTCTACGTTGTTCTGTCCTCCACCGGCACCGCAACCCAGATCACTGTTCTCCAATTGCAGAAGAGCCTGTTTGAATAGGATGGGGGGGCAAGGAATAGTTAATTTTTTAAAATGAGATAGAATAAATTCAGCTTCTTTTGAACTGGGGTATCACAGGCAGTCTCTTGCACAGCAATATAACATTATAGCTATATGTGCAACAGCTTCTCTAAATTCACAGCTTCATTTAAAAAAAATCTAAGTCTCTAGTCCCTTTCATTGCAGAGATATAAAGGGCAAGGCATACTTCCACAATGGAGGGCGCTAGAGACTTTTTAAAATGAAAGCTGGGAATTAAGAGAAGCTGTTACACAAATTGGTATGGCATTATATTGCTATCATGATATTCAGTTGCTGATCTAAAAAAACCGAAAAAGCGCCTATGCTCTGGGGGAAGGGGCGTGGCTGTTACTGGGAGACTGAGGCAGGGAAACCTTCCATGTGGAAGCACTGTTGCTGCTGTGCTGTATCAGTAGATGTACCAGTAACTGGGAAACCACACAGGCCTGTTCCCATGCAAAAAAACCCCTCTTACACACATACACACAACCATTGTGTTGGAGACTAGTGGTAGCTTTGCAAGGTTTGATTTATTTACAAATGAGGCAGACCCGGAAACAGCATAATGTGTAGTTAGGCTTTCAGTGGCTGATCGACACCACACACTTTCCCTCAATGTATGAAAAAATGTTATGTGTGAAGAGATCTTGATATGTTGTGGATGGCAAGAATAAAAAGCTTCTGCTAGCCTGCTGTCACCTCACCCCCACACACATACATCCCTCTGCCTCTCAGCTAGATTGGTGTCACTGTCTCCAAGATGATCTGATGGGGTGTTTCATTCAAAACACAACCATTAGATCTCTTTGATGAAACATCAGCCAATAGTGATACTGGGCAAAAGTGAAATAACAGCAAACAAAGGTTTTGAGCAATCTATATGCAAGAATGTGACAGAATTATAGAATCAGAGAGTTGGAAGGGACCTTCAGAGTCATCTAGTCCAACCCCCTGCACAATGCAGGAAATTCACAAATACCTCCCCCAACATCCCCAGTGACCCCTGTTCCACACCCAGAAGATGACAAAAAACCTCCAGGATCTCCAGCCAAACTGGCCTGGAGAAAAATGGCTTCCTGATCCCAAAGTGGCAATCAGCATTTCCCTGGGCGTGTAAGAAAGGGCCACAAGAGCTAAGCACTGATGCAACCCTTCCTGTCCTCCCTCTCGTGATCTGCCTAAGTTCACAGAATCAGCATTGCTGTCTGATGGGCATCTAGCCTCTGTTTGAAAACCTCCAAACTGCTGCCATTTGGGGTGACCCCTCCCTCCCCCACACTGAATGCCACGTAACTCTTTCCATGGGCCTCTTCTTTCTTCCTGTTATTCCATAAATTGCCTTGTCCATGGATGACAAAGCAATGAAAGAGTCAAACTGGGATTTCATGGAAAGCAATACGATCTGTCCCGGATTGTATGATTCCTGGCTTTTTGATATCTGAACCTGTATGGGTTAAAAACAAATACAGTTCACTAAAGGGAATTCCATGATTTTCAATAAAATATACATACCAGTTTATGTATAAAGAACAGTTACTCACCTCAATGCTGTTCCCACATTTTTGTTCTACGTTCAGCCAGACAGAATCAGCTACCAGCTCTGCAGTTCCTTCTCCTGTAACTATGTAGTAGACCAGAAGGCGGGCCGAAGGCACCATTTCATAAGTTAGTTGAAAAGTTAGGCTTTGATAAACAGAGCCTTCAATCTTATCCTGAGTCCCATAGCTGACTATTTTCCCTTTGGATAAGATCTAAAAGAACAGGGGAAAGAAAGTAGATTGAAAATGACAAACTCTGGCATCTTGGAGAACTATTGAGGAAGCAGCCCAACATGCATTTAAATTTGGTTATTTCTAGTGGATGGCACATATAGGGGATGCACCTCTTAAAGCCTTGTACAGTACAAAAAATTAAATCATTGCCAATTTGCTGTTTCTGCAGCACAATGCAAGATTTGCTAATGCCTCACTCTGCCAGTTGCTGGGACCAGATCTGGAAAGGTAAAATATTTATTCATTTATATTTATTTTATTCATTTATACACCACTTTATTCATAGATGGAAAGCAGTGTTCAACATTTAAAACACATTTTTAAAAAACAAACTATTATGCAGCAGACTATGGACAGGTATCACTTGCTATGCACATATTCTATGTCAGCTTTAATCTGCTTGACTAGTGTCCAGGCCTGATCCAAAGCACTGGCTATGAACTTTAAAGTTCCATAGGGTTTCGGGGCAGGACAGTCTTTGCCAATAAGAATCAACCTGTGTGTTTAGGTCAGCTGGAGAGGGCCCGATTTCTGCTTCCAGAGGTTCAGGGCCAGGTGCACATGGCAGAATTCTTTTACCCAGGAGACAGAGAAGGTCTCTTTCCTTCTTAGAATCAGGAAGCTTGTTTAAAATCACCCTATTTCAGCAGGTATTCATTCCGGGCTGATTTTATTCACTCCATTCTGCTTTTACTTTGGTTATTGGATCCTGGTTGTACCCACTGTTTTTTAAAAAAAATTCTAGCAGTTGTTGGCTTTATTGTATTTTATTAATATATTCTTGTTTTCTTTTATGGTAAGCCACCTTAGTGGCTCTTGCTTAAAGGCAGGGTATCTTTATAATAAGCAAGTCATATTAAAAAAACAGACACAGCCAAAATTAAGCAAATCCAACAAAGTCAAAGGCCAAAATCCAATTGTCTAGGTAGCTGCAGCAATTATTTAGAAGACCTTATATACACAAAGCTTTCAGAAGCCTTTTCTCAGGCATCTCCAAAGAGTCGCGGCAGTGACTGAGAAGGCATGCAATCTTGCAGCTGTGGCATAGACCTGACAAAGTGAAGGCAGACAGGTGTATGATACTGTGCAATATGTTAAGAAGAAAGGGTTCCATGGCATACCAAATAGCTGTAATGATGTATTTCATCAATATAGCGGCTAAGCGGATGAATGTTGATGTTGAGGTTGTCCCCCACACGTAGCACTCTGTAGTTTGAAGCCCAGTCAATATATAAGTAGCTTCCACTGGGAGAAACATATGATTTTGCCACATAGCTCTTACTAGCCTGGCTGTCTTCTGGTAACTTGGCATCTGCTGTTCTTAACTAAAAATGACAGCATACAACATAATTTAATAATGGCAACAAGAGTCAATTAAAATGGACGGGACAAAAAGAGGGGCAGATGCAGAGAGGAATGACACCGGCAAAACCATCATCCGAAAAGCAGAGATAGAAATGTGACTCAGATAAACAAGGCCTGACTCAGAACTCATCTTGCTTGTATCTGGACGTAACATTGAACAGGTATTTCAGAAAATCCAGATCTTTCAGAAAATGCTGTTTGCAAACAGCACACGAAGAGGCTTGCAACGTAGAAAAATAAATTAAAAAACAGGCAGAAAATAAAAATTGGATAAAAGCAGTAAGAACCGCAAATAACAATAATAAGCACCGTTCATTGAAACATGAAAGCAGCAGAAAACAAGACTACAGAATCAGCAAGTACAATTCCTCAGCAAAAATAACACCAATAAGAAAAAAAACACAAATAAAAACAACAGCTCAATAGAAAGCTGGCAAAAATGCCCCGCAAACCTTCTGGATCAGTCTTAAGCTGCAATCACACACACTAAGGCTGATTTCCCACAAGCTGCTGCTCCGCCCTCATTCCTCCCTTTGCTCCAATCGTATATGTCAATTTCACACCATGTGCTGCATGGCTGCATTTTGCTCCGCAGCTTTTCCCGATTTCCCTGCGTCTACTCAATCCTGGTTTTTTGAGGATTGAGTAGACACGGCAGAAATCGGGTGAAGCTGTGGAACAAAATGCGGCCGCGCAGCACATGGTGTGAAATTGACACATACGATTTGGGGCAAAGGGAGGAACGAGTGCGGAGCAGCAGCTTGTGGGAAATCAGCCTAAATAATCCACTTTCAATCCACTTTCAATGCACTTTCCAACTGGATTTTACTGTGTGAATTGACAAAATCCAGTTGGAAAGTGGATTATTTAGTGTGTTTGATCGCAGCCATTGTTTCCAAACTATTAAAGGGGCTAGGTGAACTTCCTGGGGCAAGCTTTCTACAGTCTGGGGGCCACAGCTGAAAAAGCCCCGCTTTGTGTATTTGCCAGACCCAGCTCTTTCACTGAGGGCACGAGCACAGCGAAGCACCTGCCCTTTATTAATAAAAAAGATTATTCCAACTTTCAGGGAGAACTCTAGAATCCTAGAAGACAAGCAGCTTGCATGTGTAATATCTAGATTCAAGTGATTAATGCACCAACACAGCTACTCAGCATTTTAAACATCAGAAGCTGCCCACCATGGTGAGGGTCTTAAAATTATTAGAATCTAACATACTTATATCTTACTGGAGCATTGGACTATTCAGCCCAGTGAAAATAAAGACTCATGGATGCTGAATTCACACCGGGGGGGATGAAACTAAGATTCTTGAGTAAAAATGGTGGGTTACAGAATTCAGTAGCACTCCTGTTCCATGCCTGATGGACAGCCACTGAGAACTAGCCCCACCAATCGGATGCTTGCAATACTGACAGAATGCACACATCATTTCCCCTATCGCCCCTCCCTACTACAAAGTTTTATAATATGGTTTGATAACTACTGTTACTTCTACATTGTGCAGGCATTACACTTTTAATAGTTATTGGGGGGGGAGTTGTTTGGCATGTGAAACAACAAATATCCATCTTTTAATTTTACTAGTCTCAAAACGTAAAAATATTTCCCAACCACATGGCACGTTGACCAAAGCATGCAATCCCAAAGTACACAGTGAACACAAACTAAAACTTTAAAAGTATTTCACCCACTTGAAACTCCAGCTCTTTGCTACCAGGAGGAACATTAACCACAAAGAGAGCTGTTCCATCGCTTTGGGTATTTTGACTTCTCCCAGAATCTGAGCCCTCTTGAACTAATTTTGTCTCTTCCATTTGCTCACTGAAGGCGCTTGCAGTAAAAATCACAGGAACGTTTCTAAGGGGTTCACCGGAGGTATCCTTCACTTGTACCTATTCATTCAAAATTCATTCAATTATAATACTATATTCACTATACTTCTATAGTAGTACACAGTACTTGTGTTTATTTACTATTAGAAATCACAGGAGGATAACTGTCTTCACAAACATGACTGAACTGGGAATATTCTCAAGGAGTTTGCTGTTCCATTTATACAACTTTGCCAGGTTTGTGTTTGTGTGTTTTTACTAACCACAGATTTTTTTGAGTTTTTTGCTAAGATTTTGAACACAAAAATGCCTTGGAATCCCGGGGGGGGGGGGGGGATCAGTGTCAATATGTCTGCTCTTTCATGCCCCCTGGCTGATGTCCCCATACACTAAATCTGTTTAGCTACCTAGCACTGTGATATCATCCATTCTTGTTGTGCAGTTCCTGAGTTGGCTCAAAACATCCCATAAAAAGGTTGATCCAGCAGTTCCTTGAGGGGAGAAATAGTGCCAAGGCAGAGGCCGCCACTGGAAACACAATGCACTGGTTTAGCAAAAAAGATAAATATTTGTGAAATCTAAACTGGGGGAGGATTTCTGTCCCACCAAAACTGCTAGTTTCTGCCCCCAAAAAAACTGAAACTGAAGAAAATCTGGAGCAGTTGTACCAATAAGGTACCATAAAGAGTTCAAGAATACATAAAGCAACCATAGAACACAGGGTTGCACCCTACCAGCTTTTCTGCTGGTGCAGGAGGGAGGAGGAGCCCCTTTTGACTCCTCAAAAGGCACTGCTGAGGATTATGGGACCTGCATCAATACAAAGCTACATTGTATGGAACTGCAGTGAGGACAGGAATCAAGTAGGTCCTCTCTCTTGAGCCACTGAAAAAGCCAGAAGGATCCAGTCTGTCACCTCTCAGGGCTTATTGGCTGTTATGATGAAAACAGGCCCTAAGAGCATTAGCATGGCTGCTGCTGGTGACAGCGGATTGAGGGGAGAAGAGGCTGGATGAATGTTGAGAAAGGGCAGGCAAGTGGTGGTAAAGCAGGGGGAAGGTGGGCACCAGCAGCAGCTGCCTCCTCCTTTCCTCACTCTCCTGCAGCGGGAGAGAAGGGAGGAAAGCAGTGGCGACTGGGAGGAAGTGGAGATGGCGATAACTCTGTCCCTCCCCTCATGAGTACAGTTGGCTGGAGACCTCCTGGGATGACCACTGCTCTCCATGTGACAGAGATCATTTCCCCAGGAGAAAATGGCTACTGTGGAAGGTAGGTTCTATGGCATTATACCCCAGTGAGGCCGTTCCCCTCTACAACCCCCTTCCTCCTCAGGCTCCACCCCCCCCAATCTCTCTACTCATGAGTCCCTTTTGGGTCCCCCCTCCTTGAAGTATTCGATTTGTATCACACCATATTCATCTCTGTTAAAGCATACGGGGTGTGTGTGAAATAGAAATAAATAAAAAATGGCACAGCATGTTGGTGTCCTACTTACAGGGCAGGTGAAATGGAAAATAGGTTCAGAAGGACAGAAACAGTAGACTTGAGGCCAAATGGGGGAGAAGCAGAGAGAGCCAAGCACCTACTGGAATTCACACTAGGAAAACAATGCTATCCCACATTCTTTGAACCTGTTCAAATGAAGGGGGCCTTCAACAGGGATGCTTCCAACATTTTTTATCATCTGAATTTCTCGACCAGATTTGGGAATTCCCAGGGGGTCATTTCCTGCAGGAGCGCACAGGAGCGGAGCTCCGGCAGTAAAGAGCCCAGGGGGCGGGCACATGCAACAAGCCCCTCCCCTGCTCCCAGCAGCCCTCAGTCAGAGCAAGAAGCAGCCAGGTAAGCTGCAGAGCCCCACCCCCCGGCCCCCCGGTCCAAAACAGTCCAGTGGCACCTTTAAGACCAAGTTTTATTCAGGTACAAGCTCTCCCTCCTCTGTGAGGACAGTTCTACATGTCCCCCCCCCCAATAGCTAGCAATCCAAACAGTCCAGTGGAGCCTAAGCGGTGGGTGTTGCCTTCTGACACACTTCTGGTGATGTCAGGGGGTGTGACATGTGCAAATAAGTTAGGCTAATGAGTTATGCTAATGAGCTCCTGCACCTCTTTTTCTACGAAATGACCCCTGGAATTCCAAACTACCCACTCTTGTTTTCCGAGCAGATACATATTTCCAGATTTTGCACACAGTACTCTACATGCACCAATGGTTGCAGCTTTCCGTTCATTCATTTGTACTTTCTCATGTGCACAAGTGCAATTGTTAAAACACTTCCGAGAAGTAATCTTGTTGTATTCATACGTACAGGTGCACAAAGATGTGTTTTACCAGTGAGCACACTGGCAACATAACATACAAAAAACCCCAACCCTGATGCGGCCATACATACACAATTATATAGGCTTTTCTTGAATTCTATTAACCTGTGTATTGGTCACATACTGGGGTAGGGGGAAGAATGGAAGTCTCCAAAATTCAAGACAAACTGATCTAATTTTGAAATTAATTTTACAGAAACAAACAAAAACCCCACAAAATCTTATTAAACAGGAAGTAAGGAGGACTGAAATGAATTAGAGAGAAATTCCAGAGTAATAAAAGCATAGAACATGGGAAAGTCTGCTTATCTTAAGATGGTAAGACAGAAAAAGAAAAGCAAAAGTGTGCAGGTGTGGGTGTCAGTGTGTGTTAGGGGAAACTAAGGCTTAACAAATAATGCTGTGCAAAAACCAGTTTAATCATGACAGTATGAGCTGATCACACAATAATGGCTTCTGCAACTAAGAATATACCACAAGGGAACAGGACGCATGAAATATTATTGTGATAAAATTGTACCATCTAGTTTCCATTTATTTTGTTGGTGTCAACCAACCTTAATGTAGAAGGGGAGTCCAGGCTTCACAAAGAGAGGAGTAGCAACCAAATTCAGTTTGTAAGGGGACAGGACATACTTGACACCTGTGAATTCACTTTCAACACTATGACCACCTGAAAGGAGAAAACATCACCTGTGAGAAGAGCTTTCCTAAATGGGTGTCATGCCCCAGTTCCAATATGTTCTTTGGACCGAGACCTCAGAAAGAGGGGTGCTCGATGGTACACAGGTGTCTGCCTCAGGGATCCCAAAACTCTAAGCTGCCCTGAGGCCCAGACCAAAGATCAATAGTCTGCAGGCCACTCAGAAGAAGGCTGAAGATGGCTGCCTTTACCATTGAGATTGAGTGTCACTGGGGAATCACTGGAGAGCCAGTGTTTAGAGTGTGGCGGGGGAGACTTGGTTTGAAATCCCCAGTGTGCCATGCAGTTCGCTGGGTAACCTTAGGACTTGGATACTGAGGAGGAGGAGGAGGAGGAGATTGGATTTATACCCTGCCCTTCACTTGGAATCTCAGAGCGGCTTACAAACTCCTTTCTCTTCCCCTCCCCACAACAGACACCCTGTGAGGTAGGTGGGGCTGAGAGAGCGCTGACAGAAACTGCTCTTTTTCAAGAACAGCTCTGACAGAACTATGGCTTGCCCAAGGTCATCCAGCAGCTGCAAGTGGAGGAGTGGGGAATCAAACCCAGTTCTCCCAGATTAGTGTCCGCGCACTTAACCACTACACCAACTGGTGGAGGGTGTCTGATTAATCAGTCTCCTTGGATAAGATATGCCTGTATGGTAGCAGTTAACAGAAAGACAGGCAGTAGTTGAGATGGAAAAGGTAACGGAGGGGAAATCAACAAGTGAGGGTATGTCACCACCTGAAATATTTAAACAAAATCCTGAATGGTGGGCTCAAGAACATTCAAGAAAACAGACCTTTCAATTGGATAGTTTATTTTTAGTGTAAAACGTTTATACGCTACTTTCCCTCCACACCATGATTAAAACCGTAATACAAAAATATAACTGTATTACAAAAATATAACTATAAAACAGCATCTCTAATTTTCCGTTTAACAATTAAAAGAGCTTTTCTGCATTCCCATTTTCCTCATTGGTGTGTTCTTGTTGCTTTTGGGTGGGGGGTGGGTCTGTGTGTATTTTGCTTCCTCTAGTGCTTGATTCAATATTACATTGTGGTATGCCCAGCATATCTCCATGCAGTTTTAAACTGCATGTATTTATGCCATGCATACAGAGATGTAATATTGAATCAACCACTAGAGGCAGCAAAACATACATGGAACATGGGAAAACCCCTGAAACAACAGGAACACACCAGTGAGGAAAATAAGAATGTGGAAAAGCCCAGAGTGTGCTTAAAATCAATCAATCAATCAATCAGAACCTTTATTGGCATATTGACAGAACATACAATTTTACATAGTTTATGGAAACACTCTGATACATATGAGTCAGAAAAACATGATTTGTTCCAGCCCTACTTGCATTGTCTTTTTCCACTGAGATGCTGCAAGGCTCATAACAGTAGCCTTGAGGGTCAGGTGCCTGGTTCCTTGTTCAATATATCATCAGGAGAGCGGGCTGGAGGAAGGGAACTACAGGCATTTCTGGGTAGCTAGCAGAAATCCCTGGGCAGTATCCTGGTAAAGCCTGGTAAAACAGAGGAAAACCACCACCACCTCTTCCCCATATAACCTGAAGGCCCTGCTGTACCTGTTTCTCTTCACTCCAAGCAATTCATTGCTAAGGGAAGTCCCATGACCTCTCTTCAGCATCTGCCAAGCTATTCACTGGCTTTCTCTCTGTGTACGACCACTTTTCTCCTACTTAATTTGTCTTGTCCAGTCCTGCTTGGCCAATCCCACTGCCCTTTTCTCAAGGGCTACTTGAAAAAAAATGCCTGCAGACTTCACAACAATTTGGTACTATTAGTCTCTGTCGTCCACTGTCAGGGTCTGGTCTTGCCAAGACTCAGGAAGGTGCACCTAAGAATACATCACTGGGGCCCCGGTCACACCGGCCAGATAACGCGGGGGGGGAGGCGTGGCTGTTTGCCCTGGAGCAAAATAAAGTGTGGTATCCCAATCACATGGTTCCCCGAGTCTCCGTGCTTAGGCTGTTAGCTGGCAATCACACGGCAATGCTGCAGTGTGGCAAAGTGGCACGATCACACAAGCGTTTCGCATTTGTGCGCATGTGCAGTTCCGCGGAGCAGCACTGCTTTCAGTTTCATGTTTGTGCGCATGGGCTTACGAAAAACATCCGGTTTGCGACAGGATGTGGATGGGCGCCGGATGCCACAGGATACTAGCGCTCCCACAATCAGACGCCCGCCTGTGCTGCGTGTTTTCCGAATACTAGTGCACTTTCCTTGGTACTTTTTAACTCCCCATCTTCGGCGGGATGCCACGGGTTGGCCACGGTGCGCTACGCTTCCCAGATGTTGCGGTGTGATCGCACCCTGAAAATCTGCCCGACATTCGTGCCTTTTGCGTGGCAAATTCTCCGTGTGACCGGGGCCTGGGAATACCTTCAGTGGTTTTAAATGAAGCCAAAGGTGTCAGAATTACCTGTAGATTCCAGCACTGAAACTGAAATATAAAGGCTGCAGCCATCAAGCTCCTCAAGACTGTGATATCCTAGTTCGGCAACAGCAGCTCGGCTGTTAAAATTATAATCTGCAACTCCATCGTTCATCTGAGAAATAAAATCAAGAAAAATACATTATTCTGCGGCATTATATCAGATGTGACCAGGCACAGTGTACGTTTTATAGCCATGCACTAGCCTTTGCAAACATACAGTAAAGCCAGAGAAAATATTTTTAAAAATCTTTCCAATGTAAACATTCAGATAGACTGATGTGTGCATGGGGGTGTATATGTAAGGAAACATGGAACAAACAATTTCCATATTTTAACGTTTAAAATCCTGAACATGGTTAATAGGAATATTGTGGTTTATGGGTACAATATATTGGCAGTTCCAGCACTCAGACAACAGAAATATAGACGAGGTGGAGTTGGGGGTCTCTCTTTGTTAGCCTCTGTTGAGTTAACTGGTGCATTGGATTAGCTCATCTGTAGTAATATCCAGATGGTTCTCCTTAAGAGTTCTTTTGGTAGAATTATTTGTTTAAATATTTATATGGCCCCTGATTTCCCATCATTATATGGGGATGCCTGGTTAAAACTGGATGATGCTTTATATAATATTGAAGTTGGATATCCTGATGCAAAAAATAATTCTCTGTGGTGATTCAAATGCCCACACAGGGATGGGGCGTCTGATCATTAGTAATGTGTTTGGATGGGATTCAGATGAGGTTCTACTGCAGGAAAGGTAATAGTTTCCCCAAGGTAATAAAGTTAATAAGATTGGCCACACTTTATTTAATTTGATGTTTAAATAACAGTTATTTCAACTAAATGGGAGCTGTAAAGGTAATATCAAAGTGCAGCTTTCCCTTTTTTGTCAGATAGGGGACCCAGCTGTATGGATTATATATTTGTGTCTACTTAAAGATGATGCTAAACTCTGGATTCTTATTACTTTGAGGGAAGACCTTTGTGGTAGAAGCTTTAATTCCGCTTAATGAATGGACAGTTTAGGATAAAGTGCAACCACCTGAGTGTTAGAGAAACTTCACAATTTGGGGCTTTAGTAAGTGTAATGAGCAGGGGTCATTTCCTGCAGGAGTGCACAGGAGCGGAGCTCCGGCAGTAAAGAGCCCAGGGGGCGAGGACATGCAACAAGCCCCACCCCCTGCTCCCAGCAGCCCTCAGTCAGAGCAAGAAGCAGCCAGGTAAGTTGCAGAGCTTCCCCCGGCCCCCCGGTCCAAGACAATCCAGTGGCACCTTTAAGATCAAGTTTTATTCAGGTACAAGCTCTCCCTCGTCTGTGAGGACAGATCTGCACGTCCCCCCCCCCCAATAACTAGCAATCCAAAACAGTCCAGTAGAGCCTGAGCGGTGGGTGTTGCCTTCTGACACACTTCCGGTGATGTCAGGGGGTGTGACATATGCAAATAAGTTATGCTAATGAGCTCCTGCACCTCTTTTTCTACTAGGGTTGCCAAGTCTATTTATCTTGGCGGTGGGGGAGCCTCGCCGGGCTCCGGGAGCCGTAGGTGAACGTGTGCGCGCCGCCAGCACGTCACCGGAAGTGACGCACGACGTCGATCACGTTGAGGGCGTGGCCCCAATCATCAGAGGGAAAACCATGGAGTTTTCCCTCCGACGATCGGGGCCATGCCCCCAACGTAATCGATGTGGTTGCGTCACCTCTGGTGACGCAGCCACGCTGCGCTTCGGGGGGCGGAGTTCCCCCCGGGGCCCGATTCTGCGGCGGCAGAAATCGGGCCTCCAAAGCGGGGGGTTACCTGCCACCCGCTCCCACTTGGCAGCCCTATTTTCTACTAAATGACCCCTGGTAGTGAGCTAACCCAGGATGCTATGTGGGGGGGAACGAGGATGGCTCAGGAGCAAGCCAGGCACAGCAGCCCCTGAAACATTGGCAGGGCTACTGGGGTTCAGTTCTATGTGTTCCTAGTTACCAGCAGCCCTCCAGCCCCTGCCAGAAATTTCCCCTCTAGGTTAAGTGGCCAGTCTGTAGCTTTAACCTGCTTACCTTGCCCGTCTTGCTACACCATAACTTTATCAGTGCAAGCCTGTTCCATTAGTGCCGTTACCCACATTTCTAGTACCGGTGGAGTGTTCTTTGATCCACTGACTCATTATTGAACAGCAAAATGATTAAAAAAAAGAAGAAGAAGAGGGGTGGGGGAAGAAAAGCCAACCTAACAACTTTCGTTCGTTGACCTAGTTTTTGAAACCAATGCTTTCGAGTTTTGAAAATAGTTGGCAGATGCTGACCAAATTACAGATCCTGGCAACTATGTGGTACCCTTCTACTTTCTAGCTGTGATGAAGAATGAAAAATTCTAAGAACACCAGTGTTTTCTTGCCTTGAAAATATATTGGCCTGTGACCAAGTAATAGCAAATATTTCAAGCCGAGTTCCCAGAAACAGCAAGAGCTGGGAGCGCTTCAAAGAGTCCTGCTCTCACCCACTCAAAGGAGGGACTGGCTGGAAGTCAACGGGACAAAATCAGTTTGAATCCAACAAGCAAGGACTGTTTACATGGTTTGCGGACCGGGATGTTATGCTACAATACTGAAATCGGCTCAGTTTTGAGTCGAACTGTTTATATCAATAAGTTCAATTTGCTTGTGGAGTGTACATCAAGGTTAGCCGTTTCAGCTCTTACCTAGATAGCCGAGACAAGCCCAATCTCGTCAGATCTCGGAAGCTAAGCAGGGCCAACCCTGGCAAGTACTTGGATGGGAGACCTCCAAGGAGTATCAGGGCCAGGATGCAGAGGCAGGCAATAGCAAGACACCTCTCTGAAATGTCCATGCCCCACTAAGGATTGCTAGAAGTCAACCACGACTTCCAGGCACGCACACACACACACACAATAGTCACCAAAAAGCGGTTAGCAGTTTGATGAGTACAGAGAAAGCGAAAGGGAGAGAAGGGGGTAAAATGCTTATGGTGGATCCATACCCTGATCCTAGCCAGAATTTCAGATCATCATAAACTACTGCAGCTCAGGTCTTATACTGGACTAGCAGGACTGAAGGCAATGATTATCCAGGATTTCCGGAATCCTGGCTCAGATGGCGAATTGGATCTAACACACACATTATGGCATAATTCTCCCCATTAAAAAATGCAGGCAGTTTATAGTCATGAAATAATTTAAATTGGGGCTCAGTTCCAGAACTTTTCAATGTCTGTCTATCTACATTTCCACCCCACCATTCCTCCAAGGAATTCAGGTCAGCATACACTTGCTTAATTTCTACAACAACCCTGTGAGGTAGGTTAGAATAAGAGAAAATGATTGGCCCCAGGTCATCCAGAGAGCTTTGTGGCCAAGTGCAGACTAGAACCCAAATCTCCCTAATCCTAGTCCAGCACTTTAATCATTACACCACGGTGGCTCGTGCTAGGATACAGCCCTTGGAAATCATGAGTAAAAAACAGGCATGTTTCTGAGCATCTGCAGAGTATATATCCCTTACTGTTTTAAATACTTCATTTTTAAAAATTTGTGTTATGAAAGTGTCGAAGGCCACCTAACAAAATATGCTTGCAATGAGGTCAGTGGACCACAGACACTGGAACAGGTAAGTTTCCGTGCAATATAAAATATATGCCTTGAGTCCTGAGTTGTCAGGAGAAAGGTGAGCTAATAAATAAATTGGATAAATAAAATAGAAGCAGCAACTAGAAAAATGCTGGAGCCCCCACTTCCACGTTCATTGCAGGAAACCTGGCATCTAAAGATGCCCCTAGACTTGACCCTGGGAGGTCTGTTCATAATCTTAACTGTTCATCACAGCTGTTTTGCCCTGCGAGACAAGTAACAGCTCCTGGCTGAAATCAGGAAAACAACATGGAGAGAATGGGTTAACTCACCTCCCCAACTGTAACAAAGCCCAATACAGTTCTCCACCCCACCCAAGGTTGCTATTCATAGTTCAAAGACCAGTGAGGATGTCACACCTAGTTGTGGTCCTTAAACTCCTGTGCATCACCCACAATTGACAACACTGCAAATGTCTTTGCCAGTTAAAAACTGAAGTGCATACTGGTCTTGAGTATACATTTTCCCCTATCCCTAAATACTCAGATGTGAAAAGCAGCATGTGCATTTTAAGGAGTCTGGGATTCTAACTGGCTTTCAACCAGGCCCCTCGCTTTTCCTAAACCACTGTTTGCAATGTGTTAAAACGGTAACACAACCCTGCTAAAGAATAGCTTATGATCCGTTCATGGAAAATTGTCACAACAAGGCAACTACTGATGTGGTCTGGCTGCGCAAGCCAAACAGAAACTGCTCCCTGGATGAGGTACCGTCTGCTAAATTTCAGTCCAAAGTGCATTTTTCTTCTTATGCCCCCCTGATAATAGTGGTTTAAAATGGAAATGCTGACACCACATGACTGTCAGGGTAAACCTGGAACCTGATCTAAACCTCAGCGATTTCAGTGGGAATTGGAGCAGGCCTGACCTGATTATTTGTGATTCAAGCATACCTCTCTGAACGTCACTGCTTTTGGCATCATGGTCTTCTCAGTTCCTTGAATTATTCCAAAACGGATATAAACATTTGCTCTGGCCACCCTCTTGTTGTAAAAATATCTTGAAAATAAGACAAAAGAAAAAGGGGGGGAAAGAAAACCCCACGTAATTTAGATATTGGCACCTGCAACAAATGACAACACAGAACAGGAGCTGCTTTGATTTCAGAGGAATGTCTTTTTTACACCAGTTTGGTGTCGTGGTTAAGTGCACGGACTCTAATCTGGGAGAACCGGGTTTGATTCCCCACTCCTCCACTTGCACCTGGCTGGACGACCTTGGGCAAGCCGTAGTTCTGATAAGAGCTGTCCTTGAAAAAGAGCAGTTTCTGTCAAGAGCTCTCTCAGCCCCACCCACCTCAGAGGGTGTCTGTTGTGGGGAGGGGAAGGGAAAGGAGTTTGTAAGCCGCTCTGAGACACCTTTGGGTAGTGAAGGGCGGGGTATAAATCCAATCTCTTCTCTTCTTCTTTAGAAATAGTAGCAAGAACAAAGTTGGAGCACATCTAAATGAACCAGGGGGAGATCTGTGACTAATTCTCCTACCATTTTTTAAACATGAGAACAGAGCCATGCGTAGGGTTACGAATTTGGAATGGAGCTACAGGGCAGTATCTCTTGTACTGTTTTCCCAATTTAAATTGGCCTCCCCATCAAAAACTGCAGGGAAAAATATATAGGTAAATTGAGGAAATGGTGTGGAGGGAAAGGGTAACCCTACCTCCCCCAATAACACATCTTCAGCCTGATTCAAGTTCCCCGGGCCAGCTTTGCCCTTTAAGAAAGTCTGCAGGGGAGCCAATCAGTACATCTTGATTAGATTTATGAAGTGGTACCAGCAGTAAGCCGAGCCAGGGTAAGCAATTTCACCCTTCCAACAGGCCAGGATGCAATATGATACATACATCCCAGTTTCCCTTGCAACACTGTAGAGGATACCGGGTGCAGCTCTTGGTCTGCACACTGACATTTGTTGGAATAAAACGCAAAACAGAACACAACAGACAAGAGAAAGACTTACCTTGCTTTCACAACAATCGTGAAGCTTTCAAATTGACCAGAACTAATGAAGTTCTTTTCAGGTTCTATGGTGACAGAAAAGCTTGGCATGGCTGAAACGTTAAACACAAAAAGGTTGATTTGGCACGCTAACATAAAAAAAAAAAACACAGTCCTGCAGAGTATTCACTGTTTGGGTTTGCCACCCTGTCGTCTTCTTTTTTTTTACTGGCCTTGCCCCTGTGCCTTTAGCAGCAGCCTAACATGCTGTTAAAAACGTTAAAACTGTTCCTGGCAAAGAGAGATGTGACAGAAAGCCAACAGCTTCATTTCTACTTAACACCTATTCATTACACATGAATATGTCTAATAAACCCAAAGTCGGCATTGTTAAGACAAATCCTTTTAATAGCTCTTTACCCAAATTCCTTCCTGAAATCCAATAATCCAATCCCCTCCACTTTTTAGGAATGTGGAGTCTGTTTCTAATCAATTTCATTTGATCAAAGAGAAATTGGAAGAGAGGAGAGGTTAGGAAGGGGTGGTCCTCCTGAAAACGTTCAGAATTTCACTCTGCAGGTACCCAGAGGCAGCCCACATCTTCCCAAACCTTTCTATCCTCCTGCTAGAGCACCACCCTGCGGCGTGTAACATGAAACAACAGCAAAGGCTTAAGTTACAAAAGGGTACGCTGATTTTTCTTCAAAGAGAAATCCCTCTTTTAAAAGAGAAAGAGGAGAATCAATGGCTATTTTTAAACTAGTGAATTTCTGAAAAGGAAATTCCCCTCCCCATAGCAATGCTACCAAAGGATCACTTTTTCGTTTTAAAGCAGTGTCAGAAAAACGCAACGTGGAACAGAGAAGCAGTAGGGGGAAGGAGTGTTTACTCCACTTGTGGCTTTCCCCGCTGAGTGCTTTCCTTCTCACATGATCCTGGATTAATGACTGGGGGGTAAACAGAGATTTGCAGACAATGGGGAGGGAAGGCTACTTGCAGAGGGGCTGTGGCTCTGTGGTAGAATTCATGTGATCCTGAGACCAAGAGTCAATGGATCAATAGCTGGAGTCAGTATAAGACTGTGTCGTACGTCCAGCAGTGATTGTGGGGAGGAGATGCAGAGGAAAATGGAGGATGTTGGCAAGATTAAGCCCTCACATACCTGTCATAGCTTCTCTGAGGACAGTGGCCCCTTCTCAAAGCTGTTTCCTCCCCATATGTCCCTTACAGAGTGTTGCGCTCAAGTGATCAACATCTCTTGGTTGTCCCCGGCCCCAAGGAAGTCCAGCTCACCTTGACTAGGGTCAGGGCTTTTTCTGCACTGGCCCCAGCCTGGTGGAACAAGCTCCCTCTTAAGGTCAGGGCCCTGCAGGATTTGCCAACATTCTGCAGGGCCTGCAAGACAGAGCTGTTCCGCCAGGCCTTCAGATGAGGTGGCAGACATCCAAATCCAACTCAGCCTCCCCTGCTGACAATGCTGGCTAAAGGGATCCAACTCAAACTGAGTATCGTTGTTGAGGCGAATCCACCCTGTTTTGTTTTTGGGATGTGTTTTATTAGAAATACTTTTTTTAAACTACTTGGTTATATTGTTACTTTGTGATTTGTAACCTGCCCTGAGCCTGCTTATGGGGAGGGTGGGATAAAAATTGAATTAATTAAATAAATAATAATAATAAAAGGCTGTCACTGGCCCTGGTCACACGGAGAATTTGCAGCACGAAAGGCACAAATGCTGGGCGGATTTTCGGGGCGCGATCACACCGCAACATTTGGCAAGTGTTGCACACCCATGGCCAACCCGTGGCATGCCGCCAAAGATGCACAGTTAAAAAGTACCTGCAAAGATCTACTAGCAAATAGTTTGCCATGGGCTGCAGACGGACTCATTCGGTGTGATCGCGCCAGCGCACGCCTATTCCCTCCATCCGTCCTCTTTGCAGCGCGCCCCGAAGGACGAAACCCCGGTGCGCCGCCATCACATCTGATTGCATAATGGCAGATCAGAATGCGACGGCGCAAATAGCCATGCCTCCCCCCCGCATTTTCTGGCACGTGTGGCCGGGGCCACTGAGGTTTAAATGCATAAGTTTCCTATGTAATGTCAGTTCAGTCACCTTTAATGGCACAATGGGAACAGTAATATACATATAGTAGCAATTCCAACAAGCTAAAATATAATAATAAACAAATAAAATACACACAATTCAGTTTAATAGCCTGTATATAATGTCACTTGACCCTTAGGCTGCTGCTGCTGCTTAAAAGCATAGAACCAGGATTAAGTTTTTTTTTAAGAGTGGCAATATTATTTGTTGCTGGTTCAGAAAATATCATTTGTACCCTTCAGTTGTTCGGAAGAATTAGCCTATTGGCAGCATCATAGGTTTTTGTAAACAATAAAATTTTGGGTGGCATCCACATTACCATATTCTTTAACTTGAAATTTTGCTTCGGCAGTGGTTGTGAAGTCCTTTTGATACTGGGCTTTAATTTTCCAAATACCATATCTGTGAAAGCAAAACAACGTTTACATTTTTTTAAAATGCAGAAGGAAGCCCTGAGGCACAGGGAGAGCTTCATGGGAGAGCAGGATTTAAGCTCAAGTCACCCTTAGCAAATACAACATATTGCCTCATCATTCTATGAATCTAATAGCCACATATGCCTCCCTCTCCGCCGTGCAGAAAAGAAATCCATACAATGACGCCACCCGTGGAAAAGGTATATGTTTCTGCAAATGCTGGGGGAACTCCAGTTTGCTGGAAAATGTGAAAAATAAAAAAGAGGGCTAAAAAGCAGAACTTTTGTTTCCAGGGCGAAAAAGAAAGGAGCGTCTCAGCAAAAGTGGGGAGAGGATGGGAGAGAAGACTCCATACGGGCTTCAAAGGGAAACGGAAACAGCCGGGGAGAAAAGTAGGCAGGGTAAATGGCTGGAAGAAGGAGCAATTGGGTGGGTGAGGGTATGAGGAAGAAGAAATATCAGATAGGAGACTAGGATGGGGGGGGGGAAGAAGCAGAGACAGAGAAGATGGCATGAAAGCAGGGGCAGGAATGGGGTTTCCCTTCCTCGCAAGTCCTCTTCTTGCCAACTCGTAGGGCAGGCTTGTAGCTACAGCGGGGCATCTCGAGGCCTAGCCCCACGACTTACTGCCAAGGCCCATCCTGCAACCTCCCATCCAGCCCAGGCCCCCCGACTTCCATTTTTTTATTTTACTTGTGGTGCTCCCTGGGGAGGGGGTTTCTGTGTGCCCCCTGATTTATTTAAAGGCCCCCCAAATTAAAAAAATCCTGGCTACGGGCCTGTTGCAGGGTCACTGTGTTGGCATGAATGGGTACAAAGTGAGGGCTTCTGCAGGGTAGGAGAGGGTCCACACCTTTGTGGGAAAATAGCAAGGAGTCACCATGCCCCCGGCATACCACGCTAGACTCCAAAACCTACTGTGGGCCACGGGTGGGGTATGCATGTTGCCTTCACCCTATCAGAGAATATCCCCCATAACAGGATAGTTATCAGCAGGGCTCTTTTTGTAGGAAAAAGCCCAGCAGGAACTCATTAGCATATTGAGCCACACCCCTGACAGCACAGCTCATTAACACATTAGGCCACACCCCCATGTTACCAGATGTGTGGTCATCCAGCCACACCCACCTTTTGCTTCTTATTCTCTTTACCTTGTTTATTGTCAAAACCCAAGAGTTTTTTTGTAGCAGGAACTCCTTTGCATGTTAGGCCACACACCCCTAATGTAGCCAATCCTAATGAGTTTCTGCTGTTGGGTGTGGCCTATTATGCTAATGAGTTCCTGCTGGGCGTGGCCAACTTGGGAGCCAGTCGGAACTCCGTTCCTGTGCGTTCCTGCCCAAAAATAGCCCTGGTTATCAGAGTCTATTTATTTTAATTTTGTGCATTCTTTGTTGTGGCAAACTATATAAACTATATCGGTTTCAAACAATAAAATGTTAATTTATGTATATATATATATGTATATGTATATGTATATAAGCAAATTGTTCAGGAGGACATTTTGACAGGAGGCACAGGGCTATAGTATAACAGAGGAAGATAATTTTATAAAGGGGGTAGTCTATGATACTGTTTATGGCAGGGATCCCCCTGCCAACACCTTTCCTGGCACCTACTACGTGTTTTTAGAAGCTGGGCAGGGCCAGGTGAAGCTTTCACCCAGCAAGACTTTTGACTGACCACTGGATATGTGATTGACTTTTTCAGAAATGTTGCTTTGACGGCAGCTGCCACTACAACACAAGCATCTTCACTGTGTTGGAAAAGGCAATGTCTGGTGTACAAAGAAGACCCTGCAGGGGGCAGCGAGAAGACTATTAGATAGGATAGTGATGTCAGCACCTTCTCTCCTGTCAAATGTTGTTCCTTGTCTGTCTCCAGATTGCTACTCTCAAGGCAATTTCCCCCTTCTTCTCAGACGTGCCACACTCAGTCTTACTATCTCTCAGCAAGAGACGTAGTTAGGATGGAACCTATCTCGGTCTCTCCACTTTCCTATCAAGTATGTTAATTCCTAAATAAACCTTTATCTACTGTTTAATAAGGTTGTGCACAGTTGCTGTGTTAATTACTCTGCCAATACACTGTGTGACTGCGTTATGGCTGGCTCCGCCTCTTGCAGTAGCCATTCTGCATCTGTGCCCACCACACTGTGTCAGAATTTCAAAGATGCCCACAGGCTCCAAACAGTTGGGGACCACTGTTTTATTATATGTATTTTTTATTGTATGTATTATGCTGCTCTTACTGTATCGTGTTCCAATTCTGTAATTCCATTCACTGCATATCATGTCTGATACTTTGTTGCATTGTACCTAATTTTTGTAGTCCTAGTGCTGTTGTACTGTTTATTAGATATTTCATGCTATTTGATTGCATTGTTTTATATCTTGCAATCAGTGTTCCCTCTAAGCAGACTTAGTCTGAGCTAGCTCACAGTTTTTTAGCCTCTGGCTCACACATTTTTGTCTTAGCTCAGGAAGGATGGCTCCAGAGCAAACTAATTTATGCAGTAGCCAAATTGCTCGCTCACAGCTTTAATGCCAGTAGCTCACAAACTTGAATTTTTGCTCACAAGACTCCACAGCTTAGAGGGAGCACTGCTCGCAATCCATCTTGAGTGTCTAGTGAGAAGGGCAGGCTACAAATAAAGTAAATACAAATAAAAGAATGTCTATCTAACAATTCCCATTTACTTAAGCAGGATTCTCCGTTCAGAAAAGAAGTAAAGAAAAGCTGGTGACTATGATCACTCGGTTCCGAGGCAGCCACGGTAGCAGCGCACATTGGGTGTGTGTGGGGGTGCAAGTTGTGTGAAACCACCTTTCAAAACCACAACGGTTCCTTGGCAAAAACGGTTTGTGCTCCATGCTTTAAAACTCCAAGCAAACAGCCAGCGCCCCCTAGAGGATTAAAACAGAATAGTGCACCCCTTGTTATGATGCATCTCAGGTGTGCATGAATTATAATGCCTCTAGAAGCTGGCTTGTGATGAATGCCTGCTGACCTTTGACTTTGCTAGCCCTTTTGCTATGAGGAGTGTGCTGGCATCTGTACTGTTTTTACTGTTTACTGTTTATTATACTGGTGTGAGGGTTAGCAGATGTAGCCAGGATAACTTGGTTTCTTTTGCATTGTGCATTGCATTTCCAGTGGTCCCTTGCCGAAGGACAACATGTAATAGTTTTTTTCAATGATTACAGTGCTTTTGCAAGTGACCATATAATTCAAGTGTCCCAGCAGGATCAGCATGGGAGGACAGAACAGCCTTCAGGCATAACCAGTGATGGTAGCTCCAAACCCTCAGGATCATAAAATCTTTCTTTATGGAGTATTTCCTGTTTTATTTCCAAATTGTAGCTGCCATTGTTGGGGAAGATGACATCAAGGTAACTCCACCAGAATATACAAGCAGGATTGTATTGTTGAAGGCACCGCTTGTTAAAGTCTCTCTGCATGCACAAAGCTAATAGGTCAGGCTGAGACTACTTGCATCTAGACTGGGATCCTGGCCACAGGTATAGCCAGAAAAATTTGGGTGGTGAGGCATTGGGAAATCCTGTGGGGCAGGGGAGCATGGAAGATGACAGAGAGATAAGAAGAAGAATGCAGTGTACCACAGCTCAATCTAGATTTTTAAAGAAATATTATAATTTTGGAGAGCACGATTTGTGGGGCGTGGCAGTTAATTAAGGGGGCATGGCCCCGAGATGCCCCACTGTGGCTATGGGCCTGATCCTGGCAACACTAGAGGCTCATGTGCAGCAGGCAAAAGGTTCTGCTCTGCCAACTAAACAAGAACTGAAGACTTAGCTCCTAGTATTTAACTGGGCTGAATAATTCAGATGCTGTATTTTGTCTGCTCATTACACGGGCAAGTGCTGCACACACTCCTACATCCTTTTGTGCCTAATGAGGCCTGAGCAGACACTTGACAGCTCACGAGATTCCCAGTTCAGGCACCAGAGTCACTAACAGCACGTCAAGTAGATTGCAGAGAGGTAGTTTTATTAACAGTCTGTTGCAGCTAAATATCACCACCACCAAACAAGTCTAAAACACTCAGGTATCGTTAGATAAACATTTCTCCTAAGATGCAAGGAGATGGTGCTAGATGGCTTCTTCCTGATGTATTAGCTTTCGCTATTCAGAATATTAACATGGGATACACTTCCCCACAAAAGCTTTCTGGGGAAGTACAGTACGGAGGAGCTGTGATGGCCCAAGCATGGTGGTGGTGGTAGGAGGCAGAAATGGGATCTTCCTTCCCATTCCACCTAGTCCTGGGAGCTGGGAGAGCCCAGCCTGCAAGCCTGTTACTGTGGGATGGCCTATTTGTGTCATTTCAGAAATAAGAAAAAACTTCCTTTGTGCCACATGGGATTGTATGAAATGGGATCACTGGAGAGGGGGTTGCAAGCTTGAACTACACTCAGAGAGACAACACTTTGGCCCTGAGAGATGTAGCACACACCTTTGTTTGAATCATCTTCAAAGAACTAAAGCCTGCTTTGCCCTGAAGCTGGCTCAAATAAGGATTAATCTGGCCTGAAAACTCAGCGAACACTACTTCTTAAATGAATGTACCAATTAGGGATAATGACAATCATTCTGCATATTCCACAGAGAAATCTACTTCTTTGCTCCTAAGATCAAAATTTGGTACCTGATTCCAAGAGGATTATCCAACAGGTAGAGTGTTTTGTTTTGTCTTAAATGCTATGCCCATTACTTTCCAGTCTTTCGGGGCTCTAAAATATCAGCTTATTGTAGCTGTAAAAATAGACCGCACCGCATATATAAAGGCAATGCTTAGATCCACTCATTTGGACATGGGATGTACACATTATTTTAAATCTAACCAAGCATTGATTGTGCTACTAGAATAAGCACAACTATTTGTAAAGCAATACAAAGGCTTTAGCCAGTAATATTTAAAATAGTAATATATCTACTTAGGGTATGGTGGAATTTTGAAGTCAGGGAATGATATAACTCCGGTAAAGTCATCTTCTTTTATAATGTCCACTTCTACTCCTTCTGGATCCTTTATAGAAAAAATAAATAAAATCAAACTTATCATATATGCAACAAATGTCCTCAGAGCAGGAGCTGGCCCTTTAAACCTGGGGCTCTGATGGCCATAACATGATACACTACAACTTCCATTCTCTATGGAAAGACCATTTAAATTTCTGGTTAACCGGAAGGCTATTTTTCGTTTGTTTGTTTCAAGCAATCCTTGTCCTCTCTCAGCTCTCAAAATAAGCACTTACACAAAATTTGTACAAGTCCACTTGCTCACAGTTATCTACCTATTACATTTGTATACTGCTTTTTGCTCAGGATGGTATATATCCTGGTTCTCTCCTCCTCCAGTTATTCTGAAAGGAAAAAACCCCACATAACACTTTCCTGTCTAGTAGCTTGGCTACGACTCTTAAAGCCCATCGCAAAGATTTTGTATCAGACCTACAATAGGAGTGATGAGCCTCCCATGGACCTGATTCTGATTATGACCACAGCACACAAGGAGAAAGGGCTTCACTTTAGGGGTGTGTGCTCCGTATAAACCAAGCCAAAAATACCTCCTTATCAGTATTTATCAGGTATTTCCTCAGCTGATCACCCAGGGGACTAATGATTTGGCTATCCGGAAATGGCCACCCTGAAAAAAAATTCGGAAATTTTCAGGGCCGCCAGAGAGCTGCAGTTACAGGGCATTTAAAGGGCTCTCGGTCCTTTTAAATGCCTTTGGAGTTCACTTGCCATGGGATGGAGTTGTTCCACGGCTTGGAGAAGGCATTTAAAAGGATTGTGTCCCTTTAAAGTATTTTTACTCTATTGGAAACAATGAAGGATGGGGGCACCTCCTTGTGAGTCCCATAGAATTGGACCCCCTGGTCCAATCCTTTTGAAACTTGGGGGTGGGGTTGAGGAGAGGCACCAGCAGCTATGTGACCTGGTAGACACTGTATCCTTGAACTTTCAAAAAACTTTTGACAAAGTACCTCACCAGGCCTCCTGAGAAAACTTAGCAGTGATGGGATAGGAGGACGGGTTCTCTTACTGATTAAAAACTGGTTAAATGAGAGAAAGAAAAGAGCAGGAATAAATGGACAGTTCTCACAATGGAGGGAAGTAAGCAGTGGTGTCTCACAAGGACTGGTATTGTGGCTGGTACTATTTAATTTATTCATAAATCATCTGGAACTAGGGGTGAGTAGTGTAGTGGTCAAGTCTGCAGATGAAACAAAAATTATTCAGGATGGTGAAAAACAAGGTTGAGTGGGAGGACTTCCAAGAGGACCTCCACAAACCGGGTGACTGGGCGACAATGTGACAAATGAAGCTCAGTGTTGATAAGTGCAAGCAGGCCTATTTTGGGGCAGGAACGCACAGGAATGGAGTTCCGGCTGGCTCCCAAGTTGGCCATGCCCAGCAGGAACTCATTAGCATAATAGGCCACACCCAACAGCAGAAACTCATTAGGATTGGCTACATTAGGGGTGTGTGGCCTAACATACAAAGGAGTTCCTGCTACAAAAAAAGCCCTGGGGTTTGACAACAAACAGGATAAACAGAATAAGAAGCAAAAGGTGGGTGTGGCTGGATAACTACACTTCTGGTAACATGGGGGTGTGGCCTAATATGCTAATGAGATGTGTTATCAGGGGTGTGGCCTAATATGCTAATGGGTTCCTGCTGTTGGGTGTGGTCTATTATGCTAATGAGTTCCTGCTGGACTTTTTCTACAAAAAGAGCCCTGATGCAAGGTGATACCCACTGGGACAAAAAAAAAATCCCAACTTCAAGTAGAGGCTAATAGGGTCTGAACTTTCTGAGACTGAGAGGGGAAAAGATCTTGGGATCATAGTGAATAGCTCAGTGAAAGTGTCAACCCAGTGTGCTGCAGTGGTGAAAACTCGGTGTTAGGAAAGGGATTGAGAATAAAATGGCTGGTATTGTAATGTCCCTGTATAGACCTATGGTGTGAGCTCATTTGGAATACTGTGAACAGCTCTGGTCACTGTATCTGAAAAAGGACATTGCGGAGCTGGAAAAAGTACAGAGGAGGGCAACCAAGATAATTAGGGGGTTGGAGCACCTTCCCTATGAGGAAAGGATGAAGAGTCTGGGACTTCTCAGTTCAGAAGAGAAGTGATTAAGGCGGGACCTGAGGCTTATAAAATTATGCACGGGATGGAAAGAGTTGACATAGAGAAACTTTTCTCCCTTTCCCAAGATACTAGAACTCAAGGGCATACAATGAAGATGACAGACAGTAGGTTCAGGATGGACAAAATGAAATACTGCTTTACACAGTGAGTGATTAAAATGTGGAATTAACTGCCAGAGAGTGTAGTGATGGCCACGGGGATAAGCAGCTTTAAAGGGGGATTTGATAGATTCATGGAAGATAAGTCTATCAATAGCTACTAGCCATAGTGAATGAGGGGAACCTCCACATACAGAGGCACTAAACCTCTGTATCCCAGAGCCAGGAGGCAAAATCAGGGGAAGGCTTCAGCCTCACTGCCCTGTTGTTGGCCCTCCAGTGGCACTGGTTGGTCACTGTGTGAGACAGGATGCTGGACTAGACAGACCACTAGTCTGATCCAGCAGGGCTCTTCTTATGTTCTTATGGCTTCGGATCCAAGCCTGCATATTAAAGGAACTGGGGTTTCTCTAACGGCAATACAAATGGATTACAAACAAACAAAGATCACAACAGACAAGCATATTTTTCAGGGCTGTAGCCGGGATTTTTGACTTCAGGGGGCATTTAAATAAGTCAGGGGGCACCCTGCATACACCCCCAGGCTGTGTCAGGAGTGACGAGACAGTAAAAGATTTCTTAAAAGCAATGAGAGAGAGAAGCGAGAAGGGAGGGCACCGGCAGGCAGGGCAGGGAGACAGTTCAGCTCAGCCCTGGCACGCACAGAAAATTAAAAAAAATAAACCGGCCGGATGGGAAATCAGGAGGCCTGGGTGGTAACTCAAGGGGCTCAGCCCCGAGATGCCCCACTGTAGCTCTGGGCCTGGTGTTTTAATACACCCATCTGTCCAAAGGGCCAACTTTCAGGATCGTAACAGAAGATTCCCATTAAATTATGGTCATTTTCTAGAACTCCCACCTCTTACTTATGTATTCTTTAAAGAAGGGATTAGATGAACTTCACAAATCTCCATTTGTCCATAAAAGGCAAACTGCTAGTACTTGCAGTCCTAATTTGGATCATGTGGAGAGGGCACAAGGGCTTAACCAGGGCTATTTTTGGGCAGGAACGCACAGGAACGGAGTTCCGGCTGGATCCGAAGTTGGCCACACCCAGCAGGAACTCATTAGCATAATAGGCCACACCCAACCGCAGAAACTCATTAGGATTGGCTACATTAGGGGTGTGTGGCCTAACATGCAAAGAAGTTCCTGCTACAAAAAAGCTCTGGGTTTTGACAACAAACAAGATAAACAGAATAAGAATCAAAAGGTGGGTGTGGCTGGATGACCACATTTCTGGTAACATGGGGGTGTGGCCTAATATGCTAATGAGCAGTGCTGTCAGGGTGTGGCCTAATATTCTCATGAGTTTCTGCTGTTGGGTGTGGCCTATTATGCTAATGAGTTCCTGCTGCGCTTTTTCTACAAAAAATGCCCTGGGCTTAACTCTTCAACGACCTACATGGTTTCACTAATCAAAACTACCAACACACCTTGCTGGAAAAACAGTTACAGTCATGTTGCACTCACCACAAAAGTTAACGTGGCCGACCTTCGCGCCGGCCTCAGTTCTTCATTTAAAGAGTAGAGCCTAACCTTCACTGCAAAAATAATGTAAAATAAATGTCAAACACAATTGCATGTTTGAAAAAAACCAAAATCAGGTAGTAACTGTAATCCTGACAGACTCCTGTTGGATTTTGTTACCCAAGGACAGAAGGGTACTTCTGGATGAGTGAATGGATCCAGTTTCGCAACACAGGGCTCACCCAGCCCATTTCTAAACAGCAGCGGAAGAGGACTGTGTTGCATTCTAGTAAATGGAGTCAGACACAAGTCAATGGAAGTTTTTTGGCAAATTGGAACAGAAATTCCCCTCTGCATTGCATGCTGCTTTCACTTCCTTTGATCATCGGATTTTATGGTATCCTCCACACACTGCATGCTGCTTTCGTTTTCTTTGATCATTGGGTTTTATGGTACCTTCTGCATAGATTTATGGCCTTTCAGGGGTGACTTCGCAGTTAGTACGGCGTTGCCCTGAGGTATTTGAATGTGGTTTTGAGCTGCACTTTCCCCTCCCAGTTGAGAAAATGTGGGGCAAATGCTAGATGCAGAATCGCCCCAAGAAATACTGACTAGCCTGGCCACTTGTAAATTTGAACTAGTCTTTTTCTGGCTCACAACTCATACTTGCACTTTATTACACCAGCTCTTAGAATCCCCTCCATGCCCCCAAAGCACAGTATTTTTTTAATATTAAGGCAGAGCAGAATTATGACTGAATATTTAGCAGGATCATAAAAAGATGTGTTCACCTGACTGATCTGGAGTATAAACAGGTTTGTCAGTCTGAATGAAGAGGAATCCATTTTCATACGTAACATGCATTTTCTTCTCCTTTGTAAAGTGTGGAGAAACAGCTTCCAGATATACAGCTGTAACTAAATTATTTGGGTCTGTGTTTCCTAAATCCCTTGGCTGGATCTGGAAAAGAGGGGGAGACATTTCTGTTTTTTAAAAAACACCAGAAAACAGTAATCTCCCTGGAAGAACACTGACAAGTAACATGTAATATGTGACTTTTAAAAAATGGCATGATCAGAATCAATTTGTTTAAACTTTAAACATGTATATCAACGGTGAACACATGACTTGGCCCTAGTTTTTAAGTATGTTTTTCTGATTCAGTCCATATGCTGATGGTTGATCTCACATCCAACTTTCGGCACATTTTTATCTTGTCCTTCCTCCAAGAACCTCAGGGTAGCTGCGGAATCACGTGGTTACTGCCTACCAGGGCCAGAGGCCCGAATGGAGTGAGAGTGGCACCCATGTAGAAGTACCCAAGCAATCTGGATGCCTCACACGCCTAGGATTTGCCTACAGTGCTGCTGCTGCTGCTGCAACATGGGACCCAAAGCATGAGGGAAGTGGTATCTTGGCAACAGCCATGCTACATCAGTAACGGAGTCACTGGCCGTGCAGTCTGCTCCTAAGCATCTTTATACCAGAAAGTAAATCCCAGTGTGTTTAATGGAACTTTCCCAGGATGTAGCTTCCAAGAAGAAGAAGAAGAAGAGGAAGAAGAAGAAGAAGAAGAAGAAGAGGAGGAAGAGGAGGAGGAAGAAGAAGAGGAGGAAGAAGAGGAGGAGGCAGAAGAAGAGGAAGAAGAAGAAGAGGAAGAAGAGGAGGAGGAGGAGATTGGATCTATACCCCGCCCTTCACTACCCAAAGGAGTCTCAGAGTGGCTTACAAACCCCTTTCCAATCCCCTCCCCACAACAGACACCCTTTGAGGTAGGTGGGGCTGAGAGAGCTCTGACAGAAACTGCTCTTTTTTCAAGAACAGCTCTTTATCAGAACTATGACTTGCCCAAGGACATCCAGCAGGTGTTGGTGCTTACCTGTAAAGCCCTTCATGACCTGGGGCCCACATAGCTAAAGGACTGCCTCTCCCTGCATGCTACTGTATAACAACGTAATTCTACCCAGCAGGGTCTACTGACAGCAGCCCCCTTGACTGCTCATTTGGCAACGGTCTGGAGCAAACCCTTCCAGCCAGTGGCCCAATGCCTTCGGAACAGCCTTCTGGAAGGGGTTGGGTTACTTCTACCCTCCTGGCATTCCAGTGAGATTGCAAGAGAGCTGTCCCAGAGGGTTCTTTGGGGCAGCCTCAGCCTGGGCCAAAGGGGAATAGCCGGTGGTGGGAGAGCAGACAGTATTTTTAAGTTCTTTTATAAGTTTGTTTGATAAAATCGTTTTTATACGTTGTTGTGCATGTTGGGTTCTGAGATGCTCGGGAGAAAGGGGGGCTATAAATATTATATATATATATGGTTACGGACTTAGTCTTTTTTAAAAAAAAACCCTAAATTGAGCACACAGGAATCACACATACTTCACTACGTACCGTTAAACTAACAGAACCTTGGAACTTATTGGCGGGTGTCAGACGGATATGACCCGAGGCGTAAGCAGTTTGTTTATCTGGAAAGCTTTTAATAGAGACTGTCACTGAAAACTCTTGCTCATATCCGAAGGCTTGAACCACCGTCTTCTCAGATGCTCCTGCACGGATCACTTTGGGCGCAGTAATGACATACCTGTAAGAAAAGGACAAAACTGAAGCTTCAGTAAGGGCCTTTCCGGACCTTGTGGTCGGAGGTGGGGTGTGTGTGTCATGCAGCCATGACTATTCCAGCCAGATGATTTCACAAACAGTACTTTGGTTCTGCAGGAATTGTTGTTCCCCATCATGCAAATGAACTATTGCAACTCTTGAAAAACTGTACTTTACATCCCAACAAGCAAAACTTTAGTACAAGTTTGGGGGACTGGACTTGTTCTAGCGTCCTGGAACTTACTGAATGGCGCCCATGACATCAGTTATAAGGATTGTCACAAGTCTCTTATGTGCTTATTTGTGCCATACTTAATGATCCACCAATTTTACACTGCATTCCCTTCTTTCTTTTAGAGGCTATGCACTCACCCTTTCCAGAACTCAAGCACAGGTCTCATATTAAAATAGAACAGCTATCGTGCTCCACAGCAAAGGTAGCCCATACATGAGAATATGAATATCACCAGCATGGCTAATAGCAGTAAAATGCTAAGCAGCAACAATGGAGAGCCAGTTTGGTGCAATGGTTACGAGCGTGGACTATAATCTGGGAGAACTGGGTTTGATTCCTCCTCCACATGCAGCAGCTGGTGTGACCTTGGGTCAGTCATAAGTTCTTTCAGAGCTGCTCTCTCAAGGGCAGTTCTCGGGAGAGCTTTCTCAGCCCCACCTACCTCAAAGGGTGTCTGTTGTGGGGAGGGGAAGGAAAAGGGATTGTAAGCCACTCTGAGACTCCTTTGCATAGTGAAGGGCAGGATATAAATCCAATCTCCTCCTCCTCCTCCTCCTCCTCCTCTTCTCCCCCCCCCCAGTGGGAAATAGGCTTGGAAGCCAAATGGAAGCTCTCTAATCTTGGTAACCTCTCCCAACAGTTTCATGATACATGAGGAAGTCTGTGGGGCCCCACATGCCAAAAGTCATGAAACAGAACAACAGTCTCTTAACAAAACCATTCATTGGGGAGCACCCAGTGAAGCTGATGGACAACAGATTCAGGACAGACAACAGACAGGACAGAGAGCCAGTATGGAGTAGTGGTTAACTGTGAGGGCTCTAATTTGGGAGAACCGGGTTTGATTCTCTACTCCTCCACTTGCACCTGCTAGATGACCCTGGGGAAGCCATAGTTCTGGTAAGAGCTGTCCTTGAAAAAGTGTGGTTTCTGTCAGAGCTCTTTCAGCCCCATGTACCTCACAGGGTGCCTGTTGTGGGGAGGGGAAGGGAAAGGAGTTTGTAAGCCGCTCTGAGACTCCTTTGGGTAGTGAAGGGCGGGGTATAAATCCAATCTCTTCTTCTTCTTCTTTCAATTAATAATTAAACTGTGGAATTCACTGCCAGTGGATATAGTGATAGTCACAAGCACAAATTGCTTTAAGAGGGAACGAGACAGATTCATGGAGGACAGGCCCATCAATGGCTACTCATCAGGGTGACTACAGGGAACCTCCATATTTAGAGGCAACAAACCTGTGAATACCAGTGTTAAGAGTCAACATCAGGGGAAGGCCTTGGCTTCTGCACCAGATTTTTTGGTCCTCCCTCCATGGCAACTGATTGGTTGCTGTAGGAAACAACATAATGGACTGGATAAACCACTGGTTTGTTCCTGCAGAGCTCTTCTTATGTTCTTTGCAGAACAGTATTTTCCAATTCCACCTCAGCTAGGCAGACCCAAGGATGTCAGTGGCAAGTGTAGAGGACTTGTATAATTGAAAGAATCCTTGCTGCTATCTGCACATGGAGTCACACCGGAGCTGCTTGTCAAATTTGTCAAATTGCAGCCAGACCATTTCTGTGCCAAAGCCAAGCCACACCCCAGATTGGAAAGAATCTCAACAATCTGTTTAAACCAGAGGTCATTTCGGGGGGGAACGCGGGGGATCGCAGTTCCCCTGGGTGAGGTACGGGGGGCGGGGCATATGACGAAGCCCCGCCCCCTGCTTCCGGCCGCCCCGCTTCCGGCCCTCATTCAGCCAGGAGGAGGCAGGAGAAGAGGGAAGGTAAGTTGCTTCCTCCCTGCCGCTCCCCACCCCTGCCTGCCTGGGTCCAGGGAGGGCCTTGGCGGGGCTTCCTTGCACTCCTGCTGGCAGTTCTCAAACGAACTCTCTCAGCCCCACCTACCACACAGGGTGTCTGTTGTAGGGAGGGGAAGAAAAAGGAGACTGTAAACTGCTCTTCGGGTAATGAAGGGTAAGGTATAAATCAATGCTCCCTCTAAGCTGTGGAGTCTTGTGAGCAAAAATTCTGCTTTGTGAGCTACTGGCATTAAAGCTGTGAGTGAGCGATTTGTCTACTGCATGAATTAATTTGCTCTGGAGCCATCCTTCCTGAGCTAAGACAAAAATGTGTGAGCCAGAGGCTAAAAAACTGTGAGCTAGCTCACACTAACAGCTTAGAGGGAACATCTTAATCTCTTAATCTCTTCTCTTCTTAACGACTGCAGTAAAGCAGACATATTTCTAGCAATTGCCAATTATGAGTTCTCATTTTTAAATGTAACCTTGTCTTTATAATGCAGGTAGCATGCAATTTAAATAGGAATGTCCACAGGGCATCACGTTCCTGGGCTACCTTGGGGCTTTCCATTCAGATCAGACCAAAGGAAAAACTCCTTTGATCCCATTCAAAGGGGGAACCAGCAGGTGACAACAGGTGAAACTACAGCTATAGCTTAGTTGCTCAGATGGGAAAGGGTTGATGCCAGGAATTACAGTCTCATCTGTGCTTTTTAGGGGGGAGGGGAAGAGCGAAAAAAAAGAGCGGGGGCAACAGCAGCACAGAGCCAGGGCATAGGGACACCATTGTGGTAGTGGCAGTCATGCCACTTATTGTTGTTGTTGTTGTTGTTGTTGTTGTTGTATCCTGCCCTCCCCACAGGCAGGCTCAGGGCAGGTTCCTTCAATCTCAATCAAATATATAATACAATTTAAAATGATTTAAAACAACACATGCTGCTTCTATTTTGGCAGGGGTGCATTTTCACGCCTCCACGTAGAAGCAGCCAAAAATGCTACTTCCTCCACTTTGACTTTAAAGCCATTTTGAGATAGATAAATCATAGGAGGATGCAAGCTTCAAGCCGCACAGAACTCTTCATCATGCAAAAATTAAAAACACTAATATAATTTGAAAGCTTGCACATTAATATCAACTGGACTTTATCCCAGGTACATCTGCTTTAGCCTTATTTTTCTAAGAACAACATTGTAAAGGCTTAACTATGCAATTTAATACAGGTACTATACTGATGTCTGCTAGATGTCTATAGGTTCTTTTATGTAACATATGTATATAGGGAAACAATAAATCCTTAGATTTTTAGTAAAAGTTAGTTTTAAGGCCGACAGGGTAAACTTCCCAGATCTTTTCCTGCTTCTTTTTTTAAAAAGTTGGCTGTTGGGGAAGTGGCTGGTTTTGATCTTCCTCTATTCTGAGAATTTCACATCTATTTATTGAGTTTGTTCCTCCTTGTTACTGGCATATACAGAGAACAGCAGCTGTCTGTTCACATATCTTTAAAAAAAACAGCCCAAGCCCACAATGCCAACATATATCCAAAAATGTGATGCTGAATTAAAATGTATCACAAAAAGTATAAAAAAGCCAGTATGTTGTAGTCTTGATCAACTGAGCAATCAGTGGATCACAACATTTGTCTGTATGGTGCAAAAAAATCACTTGCTAATTCCTGCGGAGAACAAGCCCCTGTATTGTTGCTAGCAATAGGAGACCTGGTTAATGGATGAACCTATCTTTCCTGGTTATCTTACTGTCTATCACTGAGCAGTTATAGGTCTGGGGGGGCAGGCCATGGGAGGGGCTAGCTTGTTTAATTTCAACTATTTATTTATTTTTATTTATTTATTTACATTAGACTTGATATCCTGCTCTTGTCCCATGGCTAGGGTCTCAGAGCGGCTTACAGGGTTTCTGGTGCTAATCACCTGTGTTCCTAGCTAGGGCCACAATGTATGAAGGGGGGGTGGGACAACCTACCGGCACCCCCTCTGTGGTGGCTATTGCTGTTTCTCCGTTGGCTCGGCATGGTCGGGTCTCCTGGCCCAGCGGGTTGTTCTTTCTCTGGCGTTCTCTGGCGTCTCCGGCATTCAGTGGTGGCGATCTCCTCCTTAGGCACGCAGCTCCGCCTACTTTCTGGCCTGGCCACGTCCTTTCCGGCTCCGCTGAGCCGGAACTCGGCATCTGCGCACGCCCCTTTCTTCTCTCTTCACGGCAGCCCTACTGCCGCCGTCTCCGCTATCTCCGCCATCTTCAGCCGACCACACAGGGTGCCCCCCACCCCTCTAAGGGTGGGTACCCATTTACCTACTTGCAATTAGGTTGCTTTCGAGACCACTGGGTAGGCGGGAGCTGGGATGAAGGTCGAGAGCTCACCTCGACCGCGGTGGTACTCGAACAGCCATAGTGGCTGCTCGGGTGATGTTACAGTGCAGGCGTTTAACTGCCTGCGCCACTAGTTTGAATATAGGACCTTACTATCTCCTGGAGGCTGATGATCTGATTATTGCTTTTTTATTAAAGTTGGATGACGTGACAGTTATCTTCTCCTCTGTTTACATTCCTCCATCCACTCCTAGTATAATGATTTAGAGATGGGACCACCTGGGAGAAACTGTCGATGACTTGCAGGTTCATTTTCCAGGGGGCCCCTTAGTACTAGCGGGTGACTTTAATGCAAGGATCAGCAGTGACGATTATACATTTTTCTCTAAATTATTAGGCCCTGATAATGATTAATTTCCCAGCCATGTTTGGCATAACAGGAAATCTAAGGATGATGTAATAAACAGAGGTGTTTTGGATATGGCTAAATTTGCAATTCAAAGGCCCCGGTCACATGGGAGGTTTTGGCCTGGAAGAGGGACGGATCGGGGGTGCAGCAAACGGGCGCAATCAAACCGCAACATCTGGGAAGCGGCGCGCACCCGTCCCCGATCCGTCCCTTCAGCCGGAAAACCCGCT